GAAGCTGTGGAGACGAGAGTCGGACCCATGTGTACGCTGCAGAGGCGCCGGGAGGGTATACTGTCGAGGGAGGTGGGTGTGACAATACTAGTGAGCATTCTTTCTGTAACAGTGATGGCGAACCGCCTCATGTCTTGCGCGTCTATGGAAAAGAGGCAGGTTAACGCAATGAAGCAGCACAAAATGCACAATACATGCACCTCTGCAGCTAAGTTAGAAAAACAACCACAATATTCCCTCCAAAGTCCAGCTCGACGGTGCTCAGCACCATCAACCTCTAGTAATATCTAGGCTCATTCCAAGTACCACACTCCTTCGAGAGTTTAAAGGTCATAAAGAACGCGTTGCAGTATTCTCCGATCGAAGACGAATGGTTATGGGCTCGGACGACAACACGGTTTCTCTCTGGGACTTAAGACAGGCGTTATGTTGAAGAAAGTAGAAGAGCATAATAGTATGGTTTTGGTATTGGCGGTATCACAGGATAGGCATACACCGGTGACCAGCCCGTCCATGAGGCAGGCCGTCGACAGACTAGGGAATTCATAGCAAGCGGGGATCTGATAGGAGAGGTCATCGTCTGGCGCGGAGAAACTGGAAACCCACTCACCCAACCCATCAAAGCCAAGTTCAGTCACATTCGAATATCCTCACTAGAATGGTACACACGTGCTGTTGACACTGTTTTTGGCCTAGTTAACAGTACTTCAGATGCCGCATCTATATTGGACTGCCTCTTCATTAACATTCCCCCCTGTTATGTACGTGGGGCTCTGTGGTGCTCAGCCTAGCTCATTCTGACAGCTACTAGCACTCAGGCACACCCGGGCCCTATGAGCGCGATATGGTGGTGACAAACCAAATTTAGATAACCTCAATATGTTGCAAGACAGCACTTGAACAAGTCTTCCTACCTTGTCTAGCTATAATATACGTTGGGTATTGGTTCTCGGTTCCTAAATACTTACCAGTTGAAGGACCGTCCAGGTCCAGGACATGTAAGAGCTCGAGAGAGGCCGCAAATAGCTTCGCAAGTAATAAGTTATAATTACAGGTGTCCCACGAAACGGTAACTTCCATTAGCTACATAGCGTTGCAAGTACAGGAATCCACCATCATGAGCTCATTACTGAATCGAGACTAGTGCGCCGTCGGCTTGAAGCACAGCAGTGCGGTGAGAGGGACATCTGCACACAACTGTCAGTGGTCACCATGTACGGGGTCACCGCGTTCTAGTACAAATCATTGTCAGTTTGTGTGATATATCGGGTTTGGACGCGCTGAAAGGACGATGCGAAGGTACACAGTTATTGATTACGCACTGACTCCCATCATTGCAGGAACAGTCGGAACTGCCAAGGCCCAAAATGCACCATCCTGGTGGCTCCTGGTAGTTACCCTTCCGTGACCGGCATATCAGTTTCATGCCAGTGCTCGCTAGTGAGTCTTGGTCAACTACTGTCATGTCAGAGCTAACGGCTTCAAGCCATGGAAAACATTATTAGAGGCTTTCCGAGTCAAACTTGAATGTCCGGACTGCTTCATTTGATATGTGGCATGCGCTTTGGTCCGCTGAAAGTGCGAGCGGCAAACTGCCAAGGTTCCAAATCCAGTGCCACGATGTTCATCCCTTTGGTCCTATGAGGCACATTACTGCATGAACTTTCCAGGTTGCTTCTAACTGCAACTATCCGATCACGGTGCGTCGCTTGTTGTCAAGCTTTGGTTGACTCAGAGCCACTAACTCCTATACGAAAGACTGGACATTTGGTATATTTTTCACGATGTCACGGTGCACTGCCCGTCTTTTCGCGCAACCAGAGTGATCTGTGCCCGCACTAGCAACCCAAACTTTAGCTCCACTGACTCTCGACTTAAAATGCCGCCACCACAGGCTTGTTGCTCGATCCGAATATAAGAAGTCAGCACACGATTCGGTTTGTCTATTCCGTTACCTTCGAGTTGATCTCCACGTCCGCCAGGGTTCAGCAGCATAGTTTATATCACCCTGCTCATAATGTTTCTCCATACTGTCCTCGCTGGCTGTCTTCTTGCTTCGTCACATGCAGTGTCGATAACTTCAAGATCCAACTCTGAACTCTTGCAGCGTTCGCCCCCTAGCGCGCCCCCGTCCACAATCGGACCTGTCGCTGAACTAACTATCGTTAATAGAGTAATCGCGCCCGACGGCTTTAATCGGTCGTGAGTTAATGCTTAAATGTTCCCCTGTATCTCTTTATCTTCCTCCTGTACAGGGCTACACTCCCAGGAGGGATTTTCCCTGGCCCTATCATCATGGCGCAGAAGGTTCGTGCGAGCATTTTATTCATGTCTAACGCTGAATATTTCGAAGCATGACAACTTTAGCATCAATGTTGTGAACCAACTACATGACGAAGACATGCCTTTATCGACGAGTGTAGTATGTACTTTACTCTTTCTACCACCGTAAGGTCTCTGATGCCGTTCAAAGCACTGGCATGGCATTTACCAAAAGAAGACGAACTGGGCAGATGGTACCTCGTTCATCACTCAGTGTCCGATCCCTCCAAATGGCTCTTTCCTCCACGAATTTAGCGCACCCAACCAGACGGGAACCTATTGGTTCGTGCTCCCCATTTTCTAAGGAGGAGCAATACTAAAGCATGTCGTACGGCAGGTATCACTCGCATTTTCACACCCAATATTGTAAGTGTCCCTGATTATCTTCGCAACCTTTGCTACACAACTTTACGTCCAGGTGATGGTCTTAGAGGACCAATTATCATATATGACCCTGATGATCCACACAAAGACTTGTATGACGTAGATGATGGTTCGTATCCTTACTTTCACGTTTAGACCGATCATTGACTAGTGTTGGCACAGAGAGCACAGTACTGACGCTTTCCGACTGGTACGAGTTGGCTTGTCAGCCTTTTGCATTACGAATCTTACAAGTTTCTTTAGGTTTCACGAACCTACGACCGTGTTAGATAAGGTCATCGGCCCCGTCACCGACAACTCCACCCTCATCAATGGTCTGGGGCGCTACCCTGGTGGACCCATGTCGCCTCTTTCCGTCATTAATGTCGAGCAGGGCAAGCGTTACCGGTTCCGCATTCTTGGTCTTTCTTGTGACGCATCATATAACTTCACTATCGATGGCCATAACATGACCATTATCGAAGCTGATGGCGTCGAAACTGTCCCTGAGCTTGTGGATATACTTCCGGTGTTCGCTGGCCAGCGCTACTCCGTCGTCGTCCAAGCGAACCAGCCTGTGGCTAATTACTGGGTTCGCGCACAACCCAACATTGGAAACACAACGTTTGTAGATGGCTTGAACCAAGCCATCCTCAGGTACAAGGGTGCGCCCGAGGAAGATCCTACGAGCTCTGCTGGGCCCTCCGTCTTGCCATTCAACGAAGGATTGCTTGCATCTTTGATGGGCATTCCGGCCCCTGGTGTCCCTGAGATTGGCAAAGCAGACGTCAACATCAACTTAGTTGCCGGTAACGTGAATGGCCTCTTCACGATCAACAACGTTACGTACCATAACCCTCCGACGCCGGTTTTGTTACAAATGCTCAGCGGGGCTCAACATCCTTCCGATTTGTTGCCGAATGGAAGCGTATACGAGCTTCCACCGAACAAGGTAGTAGAGATCACCCTTCCCAACACGGGTCTAGCTCCTGGCGGTCCAGTAAGCACATCCTGGTACTTTTCACTCCTATTACTCATCATCGTTCTAGCATCCTATGCACCTTCACGGAGTGCGTCGTGCTTTCGTTTCCCGTGTCATTCCCCGTTCTAATGCAGCTGACAGCACAAATTTGCCGTTGTTAGAGTTGCAGGCAACAGCACACCAAACTTCGTTAACCCAGTCTGGAGAGACACCGTAAGTATGGGAAACGAAGGGGATAACGTTACTTTCCGTTTCGTTACGGACAACGCTGGACCATGGTTCTTCCATTGGTAAGCATGTATTCTCGTTGTATTCCATGATACGCCTCTCATGATGTGTTTACCAGCCATATTGACTTCCATTTGAACAAGTGTGTATGCAGTAGTAATATTTCAGCCATGCACTGACTTCTCTCCAGCGGTTTTGCGGCGGTCATGGCCGAAGCTCGGGATCAACTTCCCATCCTCGCCGCGAGTATTCCAAGTATGAGTGCCGTGCTAGTTATCTCAAGCAAGCTAACTGGACTTCCCAGATACTTGGGCCTCCCTGTGTCCTACTACAGGCGACCCGTATACTGAATCTAACGGTATCTTCAATACGACCCTCACATGATCGTGCGCTATTGTCGAGCACCCTAACTCTTCTCCGACCGCTTCTACGCGGTAGGTACAACCCTCTTTAGATTGCTACCTCTGGTCTCCAAACGATTACCTATACACATGTCTCCTCTACATCGTAATGATGTGTTGTCGAGCACTATTTGCTTTCTTTCCATGTAATAACTTATCTGTGTAGATTATTGGGGCGGGGGCATGCAATACGTGTAATCCGGCTGTGCAGTAGTATAGCTGTGCTGTCTCGAGGGGGTAATACATTGACCTATTATGGTCGTTTCCGCTCATCGTTGGACTGAGTGTTCAGACTAGTGCCTATGGCAGTGTGCTTACCAGTACGACATCACCATAGTTTGAGCAACGAGTCTAAGGTTGCCATGAAAGCTGGCTTTGCTATTGGCAAGCTGTCAACTACTGACAACTGTGCTTATCTAGTACTATGCAGTTGTATACATATATGCACGTCACATATTAGACACATAAGCAATCCTTGCTTCGTGAACTGCAAACTCCATTGCCCTTGTACTGCTCGTGTTACGGAAGTCAAACGAAGGCGTGGTCCAGCCCAAGAAGTTGATTTATGGTATCGATCATGCAGCACCTAGTAGCACATGGTAATTGGGGTTAGTGTTGGATATCGTGATCCTCACTTACTCTCGGTTAATCCAAGGATTGGGACTATTCATTCCATGATAGTAGAACTCACTTGTCCAAAAAAAAAAAAGGAATTGTTTGTGATGCATTGAAGGTTTGAATACAAGTAAGGCATCTGTCGGCACCCTAGTATTACAATAAAAGAACACTATTTACAATCAGCGAGATCTTTTTCCATCTTTGAGATCCGAAACAGGGCATTCAACTAGATGCGGGATCCATAAACATCTTCTGGTTCAACGCCAGCTTGGCCCTTGCGAGCATTAGCCTGGCCCCACCTTGAAAAAAGTGAGTGAGTAGGTTAAAACATAAGTAAGCTGGAAATATACTTTTTGATACGAATGCTTTCAATCTGAATGAAACCCGTGGTATCTGTCGGCTCAAACCCACCGAGCTCGTCCATGGAGGATTGATGCTCATCATACAGACCCTAGAAAGTGGGTAAGGAAACGTGAAAGCCATGAATCAAATTCATCACCTCATCAGAATACCGGCCGATAACAACGACATTGCCCTTGTAGAGCTTCAAGCGCACTGTTCCGTTGACGGTGCGCTGGCTCGCTGGAATAGCGCTGGTGACGAACTCGCGCTCAGGGGTGAAGAAATGACCATTGTAGAGAATGCGGCCCAGTTCGATAGTGACGAACTGGTCACGGAGAGCACGAACATTGCGGTCGAGTGTGAGACCTTCAATGTCCATATGCGCGACACGTAAAATAGTCGCTCCAGGCGACTCATAACAACCGCGAGACTTGACGCCGATGAATCGGTTTTCGACGATATCAATACGGCCGACACCGTGCTTCCTCGCGACAGCATTAAGTGCGAGGAAAATGTCGACGGCGTCGGTTAAAGGGGCTTGGTCAGCGATAACAACCCTTACAGGGAGACCAGCCTTGAATTCAATTGAGAGCTGCTCAGGCTCCGCTGGTGCATCCTCGAGAGACGCGGTGAGCTTCCACATGTCATTTGGTGGTGTGGTGTTCGGGTCCTCGAGGATTCCTGCTTCGTAGGAGATATGGAAGAGGTTCTCATCAGTTGACCATGGTTTTGCGGCAGTCTGTTGCACTGGAATTTGCTTCTCAGCTGCGTATGCAAGTAGTGCTTGACGGCCAGGGAAGCGATTATAGAACTCTGGACATCAAATGGTTAACGAAAATTTGTTGTGCTCGGGAAACAGAATCACCAGGAAGCCTCCAAGGGGCGATGACTTTAATGTCGGGCTTCAGACCATAAAAGGCAAGTTCAAAGCGAACCTGATCATTCCCTTTGCCCGTACAGCCATGTGAGACATAGCTTATGGAAGGTCATTGAGCCGAAGAGTGAAAGATGAAGGCGAGGCTTACTCGCAACCTTCATTGGCTGCAATGGACATCATACCGCGAGCAATAACAGGACGAGCAAGAGAAGTTCCAAGTAGATATACATTCTGATTATGACAATCAGCACATATTGAATGCCCGAAGACGGCGATTACCTCGTAGATGCAGTTTGCCTGCACAGCAGGGTAAATCAACTGTGTGACGAATTCGCGCTTGAGGTCCTGCGAGTTGAGGAACAATAAGCGACTAGTAGCGAGACCGCCCAGACCGCTGGAAGAATGTCAAACCTCCAAAAAGAATTTCTTTGCACCAACACTGAGTGCTTTCTTTCTGGCCGCTTCGAAGTCCTGACAAACAGTTAATTAATGATAACACCAGGCTTTGTTTAATTTTCAGTACCTCTTCCTGACCAACGTCAGCCATGAAAGCGTAAACTTCATAGCCCTGCTCGATCAACCACGCCAGGATGCATGAGGTGTCTGCAGATCTTCACGATTATTATGATCTCCTTGCCAAGACACGCGGAGAGTTGATTTACCAAGACCGCCAGAGTATGCGAGCAAAACACGGCCTTGCGCAGGGGGGTGACATGATTGCAATCGTTGATAAAGCTTTAAAGGACAACAAAAGTTTTCTTTGCAAAGTCGATCTCAGGCGACTAGCAGGTCGTCGGTCTTTTAAATGTGAATCTGATTATTATCGCGATGATGATCTGCGAAGGGGTCGACCTTTTTTACAATGTCCACACATCGACAACCCCCTCTACCTCAATAGCCGCGGCGTTTCATTTAAGTAATAACTATGGAAGACAGGACGGCCGCGCTCACTTAGTCATGTCACAAACACATATAAGGCAATAGGACTCCGTATACTTCGAACTGAAATAAATAAGTTATTTACAAGTACTAGTACCAACCTCACATGACTGGAAAACGTGGCACTTTTTCCTCGACTTACGTAATCTGTCGAGGAAAAAGTGCCACGTTTTCCGGTCAGGTGACATTGTTGCAAGTCAGGTGAAAAATTGGTCAGGAGACAATGAGCCAATGAAAATGTGAGTTTGTGACCAAGCTTCTTTAGTATATTATATATATTTTCTGACTTGGAAGAGGCAGACGCAGTCTATTAAAACTTTCGTATCAAGGTCCGTCAAAATGTCTCCTAAGCATATACCTCCAATCCAAATCCTGGCCACTTGCAGTAATAGTTACAAACATGCTTCGTCTCAAAGTCATCCACCATGCTTGCGATGTTTCCATCACCAAAATGATCGTTTCCATCACCGACCGAACTAGACAAGCAACTGTGATGAGCAAATGTCGCAATTAATACTAGCTGAAAATAAACACACCGGTGGGTCAATATTTGAGGATCGGTCAAAAGCGCTGTGCTGCCTTGATAATCAGAAACAAAGGCTAAACCGTCTGTCTTCGCATACTGAATGTGCTGAGTGAAAGCAAGAAAGACGGCTAGGTCATAGCCATATTCATCGTCATCAAGTGACGGTTCGCAGTCCTTATTATGGATAAACTTGGTAAATGTCTGATTACCAGGACTGTCGAATGTCACTGGCTCCTCAAGGAGATACACCGCTGAAAACGTCCCTGCCTTAACGTCTGCTGTGGGAGCTTGATTGGATGTCCCCTGAGCGTTCGACAAGTGATGAGAAAATGCTAAAGCAATCCCTGCATCCACAAAGCGCACGCGGGGTATTTGGAAAGATGGAGGACTTGATGCTGCATCGATACAGTGATCGATGTATTCATAAGTAAAGTTAAGGAGTGATTTCGCCCAGTACAACACGTTACTTTCATTTAAGAGCTTTTGGAGCTCATCTGCTAATGCATAACGTGCGATCTTGAGGGTGTTGGATCCGGCAGCAGCGCCGGTGTGAGAGGAAGGTCTGTAGAATGGCCGCTTAACGATGACATCCTGCTGAGTGCGGGATCCAAGGCCACTGGAGGACAGAGGGGATAGTGTTAGCCACCCTGGATGTGCTGTCTTGAAAGCACCAATCCCAATCATGCTGCGAAGGGGGACATCGATAGTGAGTTGGCCAATAGATGAATTGGAGATGTCAAGTTCAAATGAACGGTGTTGAGGAGTCTTCAAGATATCAGCTAGTGGACGCACAGGGATTTGATGGAATTGGATGTCCTCATTGCGTAGATCATAAACTAAACTCAATGCGCATTTAGATTCTAGAAATTAAGATGAGAATGAACTCTTACCTTTAGGTGCGCGTGCAGCATCCATGCTACCCTCCATTTTTCAAGGCCTCTTTGAGATCATCACGGTCAGGGAGGCGAAATACATGCGCCAGCTTCTTACGGGGAGGCGAGACAGTACTACTTGTGGAGTCACTCTCGCCTCGAACATGAGCTCGCTTTGCTGATGTGCGCATCTGAGTGGGTGCTGTGAGCCGTCAAACAACTGAGTAATGGTAGGATCACATACCACAGTAGATAGACTATATGGAGGTTCCATGTCATTACCAAAAGGGTCGTCGTCTTCTTCAAGTTGCCCAGCAAAAGGGTCTGGGTCTTCATAGTCGTCCAAGTCAGTACCGACAGCATGAGGGTCTTGATCTTCAATATCAGTGTGGATGGATCGGCGTCGTTGAAGCTGTTCATGCAAGGTTTCCTAAGAAAACTATGAGTTAGTTGATGCGCAACACCTTGAACAAGTGAAATCTTACCTCTTCTTCAGTTCTTTCGAGCCATTCCTCATACTCACTCCACTGCGCTGCAGGCACAACAACCATGAGCGAGAATTTCTTAGTCTTGAAAGTCGTCGTCTTCGGCGCACGTCGAGATTGGACCAAACACTGAGCCAAAAAAGTATGGAATGGCGGGCAAATGCCCAGATAGGTCAACCCAGGCAGCATCTCGGACGACAAATTCATGAGAGCGCCATGGAAATCCCCTTCCGAATGTGAGGATTTTGGGTAGAATGGTATCGAATGCAATCGCTATGAGACTAGGGGCGTCCAAGCGAGCATCAATATCCTTCTTTCCTTCACATATATTCTGGTATGCGCATTAGAAATATAAGAACACAAGAGAGATAGAAAAAATCATACCCCGAAGTTGATACCACGTCCGCTTTTCTTCCGTGAGTTTCCCTCATACACAGCTGTTATCTCTAATGTGATAGTCTCTGCAGGGGGTGGAGCATATGCTAGTTTAGCCCATCGCTCACGCTCCAAACTATATTGAGCATGGTGCGCCGAGTACCCTGTGGGACCAGGTACCCTGTTCTGGCTGGAACTGACTGGTGGTTGTTGCCACGATAAAGGCACGGCAATATCTGGGCCTGGAAGGCGGCCCATATGCATAGCGCTACTTGAGGGCTGAGATAGGAAAGGAACCACACGAGGAGGGTTGATAGTAGCTAAGAAATTCCGCCATTGAGATGTAATTACAAGTTCTAAGTAGAGAAATGGGACTTACATCTGCGCTGTGCAGCATTTACACTTTGCCGTATGACGTCAGGATCAGGGAGTGATTGTGCAGCTAAATATAATCAATTGCGTCATTGACCAAAAATTACATAGGAAATTTAAGTGTACTTACAAGAAGGGCGAACTGAAGAGGGTCGGACTGATGTCGAAAGCTTCTGTGCATATCGCAAGTAACATGCCCTACAGATGAAGCGACCAGGCTGGCTAGGCACAATAGTGGCAATGTAATGATATGGAGCGCCTTTCAGGATAATGCTACCACAAGCAGGTCGACCACAGATACGATCCTCCTTGGCAATAGCATCCTCAGTGAACTGAGATACAAGTTCCATGTTGGATATAATGGCAGTGGCAGTAAGTACTTGTGCGATGAGGAGGAATGCTGTTAGAAAAATGGCCCTATGACACTTGAGTGACGGACTTATATATTGGACCATCCAGTACAACTCACCGCTTGCGTCTAAGTTGAGGTTTATCCCGCAGCACTGAGGTGCATCTAGTAAGTTGAGAGTTGCCGAATTCTCCATGTTGGATAGGTAGGATCAGAGTCACCATGATTATGGTTACATTCAGTTGGTATCCAGCCAAAATGGACTTGAACAGTGCATCGAGCATCCAGCGTGTTGATGTGTTGGACTTTTGTATTGGACTTCATTATTCTATAACCTTACACCCGGGCTCAGTACAGCTGCGGACTTGTTCATGTCGGACTTTTGTTCATGTCGGGCTCAGCCGCCATTTGTCGTGTCCAAACTGTAAGTGTTGTGTTCAGACAGTGTTGTGTTCAGTCTGCAAGACGTGCCTTGACTATAATCTTGCTATATCTTGCTGTTGTTCAACCACCTCTTATCTAAGATCTTGGTGTTCAAGTTAGTATTCAATGTGCCTGCATGACCGACTCTTATTGAGATGTTTAGTTTGCCTGTTTTATTGAAGTCTTCAGTGCAGCGCTCAGTGTGCTATTGGTGTTCAGTGTGCTTGTCTCTGATTGGTGGGTGTTCAGTGGCCTATGTGCCTATTCAGTGCTCCTATCTCTGACTCTGATTTGTGGGTATTCAGTGCGCCTATCTCTAACTCTTATTGAGGTGTTTGGCGCACCTTAGCGCACTCTTCTCTCATTGATGTTCAGTGCGCTCTTCTCTTATTGGTCTTCAGTACTCCTATTCAGCTGACTCTTATCTCTACCAGTACTCGCATTTGAGTTTTTAAACACTGGCTATATGGTGACCGCCACTTGTACTGCTATGCCTAACCAGAACAAGCCAACCCGTACGTATTTCTGTATGTGTAGTCTACAGGCTGACATAACTTAACTTATGATATCAGCGCCTCTTGAGGAGATCACTCCGCATATCCTTAGGTACTGGAAAGCTCGTCAAACTGACAAGAAGATTGTAGAGAATTTGCGGAACCACTATGATACATCTCGCTATGGACTAGGGTCAGTCAATTTCCGTTGATTAGTACTGCTTTCCTAATGTTTGTGGGAAGGATCACGAAGTTCAAAGAGATACGCAACGAAATGGGTCTTTTGCGTACCCGCAAGCAGAACCACTCCATTGATTCCATCCGCGAAGCTATGATCGAGCTCCGCCAGGCATACCCAAATGCTGGTGCGCGGGAAATGGTAATTTTGCTATTTCACGAAAAGGAAATGAACGTGTCGAGGTAACTCATTCAATTACCATTGTTCTGTAAGGGATCTGACTAGCTATCATATAGAAATCTGGTGATATCATACTGTGCCGCCTATGAAGCAGACCTTGTACGTCAACGCAAAGCTGGTCGCCTTAAGCGCAGGCGGTTCTGGGCTGCTGGCGTCAATGATATAATTGCCGTTGACCAGCACGATAAGTGGCTTCGATTCGGTCTTGGATTGCATACTGGGGTAGAGCCATTCTCCGGCCGTATAATGTGGATTCGGGTATGGCATTCGAACCGCAACCCTCAACTCATTCTCACATACTATCTCGATACCATCGAGAAACTGGGCCGTAAGTTTATTCAAATAACTATCTATTGCACTCTTTACTTATTCAAGTTGCCCTACCTGCGTATGACAGACATTCCGATGGTGACTCAGAGCGATCCTGGCACTGAAAACTACGGAATCGCCAATGCACATACCATGCTGCGCCAAATGTACGATCCAGCACTGCAAGGTACATTACAACACCGTTGGATGCGGTCAAAGAAGAATGTGAAACCGGAGATCACCTGGTCACAGTTACGGCGTCGGTTTACCCCTGGTTTCGAAACGCTTCTGGACGAAGGAGTGGAGAATGGCTGGTACGATAGTGACAACACCCTTCAGGTGTAAGTGACCTTCGCTCTAGTTCTCTGACAATTTAAGTTTGCTTACAGTTGCGCATTTAGCATGATCTTCCGTTGGGTCTTTATTCCATGGTTACAGTGCGAGCTCAACAGGTATCAGGACCGTGTTAACAACACCCTCAAGAGGCCAGATCGTAACAAGGTATTTCAATTAGTTTTCATTTACATTCATTTAGCACTTACAATCGCATTTTAGGTGCTGCCGCACGGCGTACCTAATCTAATATACGAGTCTGCAGAAGATTTTGGAGCTTTAGACTTCAAGGTATATTTATTTGAATGCGCATTGTAATTAACTGGCTTATCATTGTACTAGGTATCAGTCAATCAAGATGCTATTGACCACGTCCGCAATATCTATGTGAAACCCGACCATCCTGTCTTTGATTTGGTTCCCAAACCACTCAATGATCTTATTCAAGACTGTTATGATGATTTAGGCCGTCCTCCAGTCACTCGCCAGTCCGCATGGACAATTTACTTAGCTTTGTATCATTCTATTCAGCACGCTGCACAGACACCAGCCGTTGTCGATTCTCTTACAGATGTCATCACCAACTCGGACGAAGAGCCTTTGCCTCTCCTTGACAACCAAAAGGACCTGTTTTTTCATGGGGATACTGATAGTGCTTACTACATGGGTGGTATTCACGGCGGACATGGTCTCAGTATGTTTTTCTCAATTTGAATTAACTTTGTTTTAAATTATTGTACAACAGATGCATCCAATCATCGCCGGCTGGATGAACTGGCTGAACTGGATGAACCAGGTGCCGACTTACTCCCTACAGCTCCGATCATAGAAGAGGAGGGTTTGGTTATTACAGGATTCTCTGATGAGGAGGACAATGACGAAACATATGTTTGGTAGCTTACTGTAGAGTTCATTTTTTTGTGTTCTTGTTTTTGTGTTCTTGTTTTTGTCGTCCTTTGGACTATAGTAATATGGCGCTTGGCCACACATTGATTAAAAAATTTGAGTGGGCACAGGTGTACGGAGTCCCTGCATCACACCTGCCTAGTATGGGGTGTTGTCACGCTATGTAACGAGCGCGGCCGTCCTGTCTTCCATAAATAACTGTGACATTTCGACTGTCACAAAGCGCGTGCTAAACAGACGCCAATACCTTTGTACCACGCCGGCCACAGCTTCACCTACAACGTAGGCCAGCAGCCGTCCCAACAATAGCTTAATCACCAAACATAGTATGGACATGGGTCTCCTCTGGGGTTGGGATAATCTCCATTAACTATCATTCCAGCTGTCAGAATCCCACTCCATTATGAATCCACTGGCATTCGAACGTGCACCTGGTCCATCGCGGCGTAACAACGGTTTTCGTCGGCCAAATCCTACGTCAGGAGATGCACCATCTAGTTCAAGGACTGGTCAGCGACGCAAGAAATCACGCTCCCCGGACGCGTGGAATCCTCAGTCCCAATTTGCCACGCAAAGATCTGAGCCAGCTCAACCCGAAGGAGGAAAGAAAAAGAAATTGACAACTCCCCTACCCTTCGATAGCAGGCCCTTTCTTGCACCACTTGACGATGTCAATTTTGAGAGAGGTCGCAAACACAAGTCCAAATCACGCCAGCAAGGTCGCCAGGCAGTGGAGCACCCTGCTACCGCATCGGCTCTTGCCGCAGAGAACAAGCCCAGGAAAGATAGGTCCAAGTCGAGAGACTCGGCCTACAGACAGATTTCGAAAGCCTCGACATCTGACTCTGAGGGTGTCCAGGCGCTTGTGGACCTTCACCTCGAATACCAGGGTTCGTTCTCAGCCGCTGAATTTGCCAAGCTTAAGCGAGAAATTGAAACGTGGAAGAAAGTGGGTACATGCACATAACGACCTTCATCGTCTGACCAAGGACATAGGTAGCGAATGACAATAAGAAGACAATTAAGAAGCAGAATAAGGTTCGTGTATGCGCGCTTTCCTTTGGCATATTCGTTTACAGTGTGATACATAGATAATTGAAGAGCTTCGCCAGAAAGCAAGTGCAAGTGAGAAGGTCAGTGTAGCCACCACCTGTTAATCCATACACTTAATCGGGAGAACATTCATGCAGAAACTGAAGGAGACGGAAAGTCAAGTGAGCAAGGCACAAAGCAAGGTGAAGAAATCTGAAGATGTAAGTCTTTGTGCAACCGATACGCATAATGTTCTTGAACTTTTACTCAGGCCATCAAGAATGTCGAAACGAATGTTCAATGCCAAATTTGCATGGAGCTGTTACTCAAACCATATGCGTGAGTCTGCACTCCCTCGCATTAATTGGGAATCACTCATGATTCCTCTAGGTTGTCACCATGTGGCCATGTTCTTTGTGTTGCATGCCTGCAGGAGTGGTTCAAGAAAGCACCCCCCGGCGACGATGAAATGTACGACGACGACGATCCTGATTATCTACTTTTCCGAAAGAAGACTTGTCCGTGCTGTCGTGGTAACATTCGTAATCGGCCCATTCCCGTTTTCATCGTCAAATCCATTGCATCCGCGTTGTTTAAGGTTCGAGGAACATCTCCCAACACTTCATCGCCCACTGCTGGATCCCCTCCCGCTGACGCGGATCCATGGGAAGGTTTATTCCCGCCTGATGACGAAATAGAGGACTATGGGAGCGAGGATGATGATGACGATGACGAAGAAGACGACGATTGGCTCGATGAAGATGTCTTCAGTTACGGCACGGGCAGTGATGAAGACGCATATGGTGGCGACTACGTCTTACCTCAGTGGGAACCACCAGCAACCATTATCGACGAAGAGGACTATCTCTTCGACCATTTGGGCCACAATGACCTCAACGTCCTTCGGCGTGGTGCTACGCTTGCTATGCTCCATGAATATGACATGTACTATGTACATGATGAAGGACTTATCGCGCACGACGAACTCAACAACCGCATCTTCCTCGGGTGGAATATCTCCCTCAGTGCAGATGATGAAGATGGTTCGAGGTACATTGAATGGGTCACGCGGGACATGGACGAGCGCCCTGAGCGCTGGAGGATGGTAAATCTTGAAAATGGGAAGTACGAGGCTCATCGGCTCGTCCCAGAGGATGATGTGTGTGATTACAGTGACAGTGACTCTGAACACTACATGGCAGAGTCTGACGTTGACTTCTAATGCCGTTTACAGACTCGTACATAGATTTGTATCCCTGTGGATGTCCTGATCAGCTTGCGGATGTTTTCAACTGTCAATCGTATATACTATACCTGTGAAATTCCTTACAATATTGTACACTACATTTACCAGACAAGTCGTGACCACCGTGTCACTGGAACCGGCGCGGCAAGGGTCCAAGCAACGCGTGCAAACATCCATTGCACAACGACTCGGACATTTTCCAAGGTGCGAGTGTATGAACCAGCTGCCTATCAATTATCCTCAATGCATTGATCGTATCACCATTTATCCGCTGGTAAGTGGATCTGCTAACTCAAAGTTGAAAGGACCCATCATTACTGCTAAATACTAGCAACACTAATAGTCCACGATCTAGCCTGAGGCACAGATGGCCTCCTGGATGCCGGCAAACCAAAGCAGCCGGGCCCACTTAAGGCAGGTCGATCGTTACATGCGACTAGTGAATCTACCTGTCAACTTATATGCATTATTTTGAAAGAAATGTACCCTTTTTTGTTTGGCGTTCGACTCGGATGCACTGGAGTACAATGCTCGTCGAGCCTACTCTATACAAGTTCTTTCGAGAGTATGCTGCTTAACAACGGTACTGGCTTTGGATCCTCGGACGTGCTGGAAGGATGTTGGACTCCTCCGAGTCTCTGCGGTCACAGTGGTACCCGCGATCATCGATGACAGATAATCACTCAGCTCGATCACTTGTTTCAACGAAGACTACCTTCAAGTTGAAGGGACGAGGGAATGCAATGCCCCGATATGTTCTCCGAGACCAGGCAGAGTTTATTTCTTGAAACTGCCATGTTTGAGCACTTGCCAAGTTGCCACTGACCCTCTTAACTTATTAAGAACCTCTTGGATCTATTCGATAGTTCTTTCACCTGGCATCATGGTGTCAATATTGCTGAGTATGTCAAAACTGCTTCTGTCGTCTACCAACTCACTATGGTCCCGGTGGGCGCCATTCGCGTGGTCTTCGAGCTGAAGTTTTCTCCCGGACCTGCAACTCAAGATGCCAGAAACACTAGGACTCTCTGTTCCATTGCTGTGGTTGTTCATCTACAGTACTCGTCCTGTTTGGAGGCTGTTAGAGGGTATGACTTTGATTTGACCGATGGTATTGCAGCACCTGAGCTTGGCGACTTTCTCGAGACCATGTATTCTCCATCCTAATTTCAAGCCCCGGATGTCGACTTTGCTGATCGAGTAAGCGGGCACCGTGAGGCTGACTGTCATGTTTTTGTTTTTTAAATCAGGTTGATGACGCTCTCCTGTTGCAAGCAAGTATTTATTACCCGGACCTTTGAGGCTTTGACCGTGACTCATATGCCATGTGTGCGACCGTGCAAATGCAATATCTCCAGCAAAGCACCCAGGTGGCAGCCAGAAGAACGAGCCCGTGGATAGATGATGGACTTCAATTACTGCAGAATCACCCGGCGCAATTCATCACCGACTCCGCATCGCGGACAACCTGTGATTGCAAATTGCTTAACACGTTGGCCATTTGAATTCATGATGCTCGCGGAATGGCGACCAATAGCTGCTAATTCATGTGTGCCACAATGATCCTCATCATGATGTTACTACTGTCCCTTGATTATTTTCGCAGATAACAACTGGGTCTGTGTTCGTTGCTTGTCGTGAAGCTGTATCCAGCCAAAAATGATCATCGGCGGTTGAACCACAGAACAGTATGCGCGCCGTCACGTTGGTGCAGGGGCAGGACTACCAACATCACCGAATTCACCGACCCCCCTTATTAATTGGTTCGTCAGGTTTCATGTTCCAATTATTTTTTAAGGTTTACTATGTTGACGGACATATTCCCTTACGCGGCGATCGGAAAGATCTGTTATTGTTGAATCTTATTAAACGCGCTGTTCGCTAGGTTCGTACCAGGAACTGAGGATAAACCTCGAAACCCCAAGGCTAAACTCCTAGGGTACAACAATTTGAAACGTGAGCATCATAACCCAGAATGCACAACAGCCACTTGCTACTATTGATCTATAATGGCTGGCAACCACGAACTGGCAATATGTATGTAATTGATCAGTCAACATCATTTTTCCGCCGAAATCTTAAGCTCGAACCATCCGTTTTTTGTGTTAAGCTCGGGCTCTCACTTTCGGCATCCAAAAGGCAGCTGGTTCCTTACAAAACATCTGACCACCAGTGAGCCTACATAAATCTACATCTCGGAGTCATCGTTGCCTATCTCATGCAGGATTACTAGCAACACCCTCCTTGAATGGCGTCCGCAGGGGGGGGAATCATTATAGTTGTGACCTTTCCTCTTTTTGGTGTTCACGACGCGCCGTAATGGCGGCAACAGCGTGATTACCGTTGATCTTGAAGCTTGAGGACTGCGAAACTTCGTATAGGAAGTTCCTGACGTTCACACCGGTCAAGTCAAAGGTGAAGGTAAATCTTGGCTGTGATTACATTGTAGTATGCTTGCTATGCAGTCTAAGATTTACTAGAATTTACTGCATCTAAGTAAGCGGTAAGATGATCGCCGCCGAGAGAGAAGTACATCTTTGTATGCACGTTTCCAGATGCAGTCGCCCTAGAAGTCTCCATTGTAATTAAATGTGCCTTGAATAATGCAGTGCTTTGTCGTTGATAGCAAGCTTAGTTTCTCTCGATGCGCATGTACACAGCACACAGGCTATGTGTATATCTTTTTTGAAGAAACCGTTTGACTGATGCGATGTCGTCGGTTGATGAGTCTTGACCACGGCTCACTGGCATAGTACCTCGGAGCAATTAATCTCTATAACCTCCGAGTCGGCAAAATACAAGTACTTTTGATGTTTGGGCTATTCATTCATGAATAAAATAAGGAGCTACGCAGCAGGCCAATCTCGGGCCAATCCAAGTTGAATCCAAGGCCTGTCCAGTACTCCGGATAAAAAATGCGTAGGCGGGCGTGTTGTATTATGCATAGAATTCTCAGCCACAATATTACGCTTTCAAATCACTCCCCACATGGTGTTATTCGGCCACGCCGAAGCTTAGTTTTGACTGGTAAAGTGACCTGCCAGTATTAGTGCATTTCTTTATACTCTCCGTTCTTACTATCAGTCACTGTCGGCATCATCTTTCGAGTGCTTGACATCCACATAACACCAAAAGGCCTGTGGAGTCTTCAAAAGATTCCAGAAATCAGTCTTTTTGCATTGATACAACCTATCCCTGACGCTCGCGGAGCCGCCCAGAGTTGGAACAGAGTTCGGGTCTGTCAACACGAGTCATACGCATGCAGGAGGCAGAGGAGCAAGGTATACTGCATTTATTGTGTAGTTGGATCACTTTTAAGCTAGGGCTAACTTTTCACCTCTTAGACACATGTCGAATCTGCAGTGCGCCTAGCGACTCGGATCAGCCGCTCTTTTATCCCTGTAAATGCTCTGGCACCATACGGTATATACATCAAGATTGGTCAGTAGACTTCAAAAGAATGACAGTATCATCGTATAATCTTACTCACCCCTTCTATCTAGTTTGACTACATGGTTATCACACAGCAAGAAGAAGACTTGCGATGTCTGCAAACATCCATACTCATTTACAAAAGGTGAATGAAGCTTCGTTCGATGTGTGGAACTGACTTACACTCTTTCCCTTAGTCTATGCAGCTGATATGCCCTCCACGCTTCCACCACTTCTCCTGTTCCGCCGCTTAGCTCAGCAGGCTTTGTTTGCCGTCCTTTTCGGTCTGCGGGCCATTATGGTCGGAACCGTCTGGCTTGCCGTGCTACCGTGGATCACCATTTGGACATGGAGAGTTTATTTCACGATGGGCGAGTCAACGTGAGTTACATAACTTTTGTGCGACCCCAACTCACACCGTGTAGTGCATGGTGGATAAGTGGTCGTGGTCGACCATATGCTGATTTCTTTGGGATGAACGGTCCCACTACTTCTTCGAATGGCTCCTTTACTGGTCTCGGACTTCCTTCCAACGCCACACTATATCAACGGGTTTCCAATCGCCCATTCTGGTCGATGCTATCTGCTGACATTTTCGCCGGACAAATAATTGCCTCCCTTATTGTTTTAATATTCGTTGCAATATTTCTTCTTAGGGAATGGATTTCGCAGAATGCTCGGCCAGGGGTATTTGAGGATGAGGACGGCGGCGCAATACATCCTGCCCCTCAACCTGGTGACCCCCCCGCAGCTGCAGTAGAAGAGCCTGCCAACGTACATATTCCAGATGAGAATGGTTTTGCTCGTAATGGCCTTCGTGAAGCAGCTCTCGATGCCCGACGTCAAGGGAGAGCCATACGCGCTCGTCAAGGTGCCGGTATCGCCCAAAGGCAAGGTCTACGCCAGCGTGACCCATTCGAGATAGACCGACATCAGGCTCTTCGAAATCGTCCTCTTGACAGACTTCCCTTTCCTCTTGAGTCAGCCCCTCAACTTCCCCAAGTTCCCCGAGAGCAGCCACCGCCGTATGAACCAGACCATCAGCCTCGGAAAGGAAAGGGCAGGGCGGAAGAAGCTGACGACACCGAAGAAGGGTCCTCAGACCTTCATTCCCAACGCCGTATCCGCAGGAGGATTCACACCGAGGAAGACGAGAGTATGTCTCATGAGACGGCTGATAGTCAAGACGGTCAACCCTCCACTTCGCTCAATGGAGGGGAGGCATTGACATTCCCCTTTACCTTCAGGGCTTCTAGCTCCATCAGCTCGAATTTTCCAGAACCCTCTAGCAGTAGTGATTCCGTCGTTGGTCCATCAACCTTCAATGAGAAGTATCCCTGGGATGCAGACTTCCACATTGACTCGCAACCAACTTCTTCGTCTGTTTCCCCTCCAACGACGCCTGCACTTTATGTCAATATTGGTACTCCGCTACGACGACCTCCCATGGCAAGCTCCACTGTTTTCGCGGAGGGCGCGACACCTAACAAGCTTCAGCCAAGTCCAGCGCTGCCGCTATCTTCACCGAGTCTCGCAATGTATCTCGCGCCAGAAGAGCTGGAAGCTGGACCGTCATCATCTGGACCATCGGGGTACTTTGACGGCGGCGAGCGCTCGAAAGAGGAACTCGAAGAAGAATTGGAAAGCTTCTTCCGTGATCCGGAGTCAGCTAGCCCCGACTTACCTCTTCCATCTGACGCGCAGGATCAAACCGCTGTTGCCACCATACCAGACACGCTCCTCGAAGAGAATGACGAGGAAGACGACGATGAGGGGGAGGACGATGATATTCCTGTACAAGCACCTGCAGCCGAGGTTGATCGGGTGCTGGATGATGAGGACGACGATGAGGACGAGGACGGCGACGGCGATGATTTGATCAACCCTCGTGACGAGAACGTCGGTGCCCCTCCTCAAATTCAAGTTGTACTCAACCAGCCTGGTGACATGGATGATCTAGAGCCAGGGGTCGAGGATGATTTGGACGGAGCTATGGAAGGTCTGACCAGTTTCCTTATTGCATGAAATATACTGATATTCTGCAGCGATTGGATTGAGGGGACCTATCCTCGGGGTCTTTCAAAACGTTCGTCTCGAATTTTGATCAATGTCTCGTTACCTAACGGATAGAATACAGGCGGTCCTTATGGTCTTCGTCCTTGACACCGCGATTGGCTTCGGTGTATGGCTTCCATTTACCTTTGGAAAGACAACCGCTCTATTATCGGTAGGAGGTACTGGAGGTTAGTGGTCAACAGGAGCTTATCCATTTTATTCAGCTCGATCCTCCACGGGCACTGTATATTCTGGATCTCCCAATTCGAGCTATGAGAGTCATTACAGATCCCATTGTGGATTTTGTCACAGTCATTCTTGGCCTCTTTGTCTTCCCTAGCCTGTATTGGTCCATTCGCCTGGTTTTGAACATTCTACTCCTCTTCGCTAGACAGCAAGTCAGCTCTGACGACATTATCGAGTGGACGGTAATTGAATTGTGTTCATTGAAAGAATTCTCTCATTTATGTTTGCAGATAATGAAGATCACAACCATGTGGGAGAATGTTGTCGCATCCTTGCAAGCACCCTCGTCTTCCCCTACCACTTCGTTGTCACAGCGTCTCGAAAGCTTCTTGGAAAGTGACTCAGTAATCGCACGGTACTCGGAACCATATTTTGCGACTCTGGGCCGCGAGGTTCGATCTGCCTCCGAGCAATTGCAGACTTCGTGGGTCAACCTGACCATGGGGCAAGGGACCCGCGAAAAGGTATTCGCTATTCTACTGGGCTACGGCGTAGTTGGTGTCCTTCTTGCTATTTACCTAAATGTGTTCACTGTTGGCAACGCAAGAAGTGCGGGACGAGCTATCCGGAGTGCAGTACGGCAGCAGCTCCTGGTGGTGAAAGTAATGTCTCCTTCAGTGCGATTTTGATCCATGCTTATCTTCCACAGGTGGCCATGTTCATTGTTATCGAGCTTGTGATATTTCCCTTGGGATGTGGTATCATGCTCGACATCTGTACAGTTTGGGTCTTTCCTGAAGCCTCCCTTGAGTCACGTGCTGCCTTCTTTACTCAAGCCCCATTGACGGCGATGTTCTATCACTGGGTTGCGGGAACTATGTTTATGTGAGTGAATAAAATGGCCTCAGTGGATTTGGTAAACTAACTTTTCTTTAGGTACCAGTTTGCTATTCTCTTGGCTGGATGTCGAAATATCATGCGCCCTGGAGCCATGTGGTTTATTAAGGATCCTCAAGATCAAAACTTCCACCCCATCCGTGACATCCTGGATAGGCCTACATTCACTCAGTTCCGCAAACTCCTCATTAGCGCTTTTATGTACGCCATGGTGGTCGCGTGTGGAGTGGCAACTCTTGCTGTGCTACTTTTCGTTGGTAACAGGTCGATTTTTCCTCTTCGGTGGAAGACGCGGTGAGATATTTACCTAAGCAAGTGATCTTGAACTTTTTCCTGACATTGCCATCCAGCGAACCGATTTCCACTGTCCCCGTAGATCTCATTTTCCTACAGTATGCTTTGCCATACACGATGCGTTACCTCAGGCCCAGGAGATTTTTCCATCGGTGGGCCGTCCGTATCTGGAAGCTAGTAGCAGGAAGGTTGCGTCTGACGTCTTACATGTTTGGCGAACGCCACTCGGACGAGGAATTCACGGCACAGTTTGACAGTTGGATCCCTTTCCTCCGCAGGTCATTGAGCGACATAGAGGCTGCTAGCAAAACATCCGATGGAACCTTCCGTCGTGTGCCCGCAAGCGACAACATCGCACTCCCGAAGGATATGCGTGCCACTGCTGAAGTGCTGGAGGACGGCACTCCCGCCAATCCTGTTGCAGAAGAGCTCGTAGCAGCACAAGATGCAGAAGCTGCAAAGGCCAAGCGTGATATCAAGAACGATTATCTCGTTGTATACTTCCCACCCAACTTCCGATTGAGAATCTTCGGTTTCATTGCCTCTGTCTGGGTCATCGTTGCGGTGTTGGCTGCCATCTTTATTGCAGTACCCATGCAACTCGGTCGTCACTTCTTCTGTCTGTTCACATCGAAAGAGCTACATGATGGCTACTCCTTCCTCGCAGGGCTCTACCTTCTTTGGGCTTGCTATCTCGTGGTCAAAACTGTGGAACGTATGGACAAACGCAGACAACGAAGAGGTGGTGATGGGCCAAGAGCTGAGTTCGCAGTCTTCTTCGTGAAGCGGAGCCTCCTTTGGCTATCCAAAATTGCCTACATGGGGATATTTTTGGGCATCATCATCCCCATTCTCTTCGCACTCGTCATCGATATGTACATCGTCATGCCTGTTCGTCTGACTCTTAACCCAACGCTGGTTATTCACATCCGTATTGTTGACATGTGGGCCCTCGGTCTTGTGTATGGCAAGATCTTCATGCGCATCAACCGGCGGCCTCAATTCGATGTTGGGCGTGGAGTGGTTACGGTTAGTCAAAGTTGGTTACTGGCAGGGTGGGCCTACTAACTGATCGCTATAGATCATCAACAACGGCTGGACTCATCCAGACCCCAAACAGGCAACAAAGGAAGTAATCATTCCGCTCGTTGTTGGGTTGCTCGGTATGCTAGTCCTCCCTGCTGCCGCAGTGTGGGGCCTACGAGAATTCTTCGATCTGCCCTTAAGTTCTAAATTTATGTGTAAGTTGTTGTATTCCAATTACGCCGCAAGTATCTTACTCGCTTTCTACAGTTATGCACGCATATCCAGGCATGTTCGCCGTAGTAGGCTTCTATCGGGCATCAGTGGCCACGTTGAGGTTGTTATCCTCCTGGTCACAGGCAATTAGGGATAAAGAGTTCTTGGTGGAGATGCGATTACAAAATCTCGAGCCTGTTGTGGCAAGCGAAATGAATGCACAAAAAGAAGAGGCGGAAGGTGAAGGGACCTTAGTCTATTATCGGAGGGCGTAGACATTATGGCCTGATGTATAACAATATATTTTTTTTTTCACGTTGACCGGTCGAATCGGACGGGTACGTGAATACGTGGATGCCCGTGGACGGCAGCCAGAAGGCAGGGGAGACAGGGGTCCGAATTTAGATTAACAGACAAGGTTAGACTTTAAAGCTTATACATACTTTTCGGGACCTTCCAGGCCGATACAAAGTGCGTGTGATTAGTGAGTAATCTACTCACGGTGACGTGGGATTAAGAGATCATCGATGATCCAGTAACGAGAAGGAACACGTAGTTGTGTAGATGCGCGGAGCGGCGTCGATGTGGTGCCCACGCACCCAAGGATTGAGACCGAGCGGCAATGTCGATTAAGGAAGTAGTGCCAACCCCGTCTGGATCCCGGATCAACTGACAGCAAACGCCCGAAACATAACGTGTCCACTTCGCAAAGATTCCGAAAGATATAATTTTTTATTCCATGGCGACCAGAGGGGTAAGCTATATTATGACGAGTTTCCGCAAAGGCCCTCCCGTCGAATAAGTGACCTTAATATGACACTGGCTTTATGCTGAGAACGTTTTTGAGAAGTCACAACGCTCCGTCAGTATTTGTTTCAACTATCATAGCACGGCCTTTGGCCCCCCTCTCACGGCCTTCGATTTAAGTTTGTCCTGATATATCGTGTTTCGCGTGGGCGTCGAATTCCAACCTGTCCAGACCCTCCTGCATCTGCTCAGCGGCGGGGGTACGTTACCTCAGATCGCATCGGATGTGAAAACATCTCGGAAACTTGCAGATTTTCTTGGAAACGTCACGGAGTGCATTTGACATGCGAAGGGCGGTTCTAATAAGACTTTAGTAACGTAGCACTTATCTTGAATCATGAGCAACTTTTACAAGCTGGTGGGCTGAAGTCCAAGCTTGTTTCATAGTTGGTGAAGTGAGTATTCTTGATTTAAACAAATACTCCACTCCCGTGAAAGAAATATTCGCTAATATTATTTCACCCCGCGGCCAATCGATAATTGTTTTGGAGGGCCCTATAGCTAGCAAAACCTATCGACTCTTATCAGATATCAAGGTAATAATAATTAAAAAGTCTACCCATAATATATGGGCGCAGGCTTGGCATAAACGGCGAGCCATCGAACGGTCTCAAGCTTAGGAGGAGCGTCTATCAGCCGGCATCTGTATAAAGGTTCACAAAAGCTTAACTTAATAACGCCAACTTTGTAGAAGTCGGTGTACGGAACGATGACAACGAACTAATTTATGACAACCATTAGTGTGATTATCATAGTGGGTGGTGCAGTCCTGTAGATCAGGCCTGTTCGTGTGATCAGGGGGCTTGGCATGTAGCACGGAGTCCATGGCGGAGAGCGAGGACTTGCTCACATTTAGTCAGCCCTTGACGGAGGTTGTACACAGTACGTTTGCGGTGTCTCATAGTATCATACTGGTTACGAACGGAAGTGGAAGGTGGTATTTACTTCAAACTCCGCGAGTTTTCCGCCGCACAGCCACACACTTCTTTCATGCGGCAGAAGGCGCAGTGTTAAAATACTCGCGAGCGCGTGAACATTTGAACTCGGACTCACAGGCTACATCATCACGGGCTGGAGAGATGACTGTCAGTTATTCTAATGCTGAACCATTCTACAAACTGAGCTGGATGTAGGACTTGACATTTTGTTACATTCACATGACTGAGCATGATCTGAAAGTGCTCGATACCATCGACAGTCCAGAATATATCTCTGGCGAATTATCAGATGACGGTAGGACAAACCACTTCTAAGAATCTGAACACTTGATAGAAAACGCGCAAATCGAATAGAACTTGACATACCAGCACACATGATTCCACCGAATCCCGACGATTCTGACAGTTCGCGGTGACACTTTTGCTGATAGGCTCCCTCTGGCTGATCCCCATTTGATAGTACTGCCGTCTCAGGTGCATCCTTCATATCCCTACGGGAATCCGACAAATATCAAGCATCCAGCCTCAAGACCGAGACCACCATATGACCCAACTTCTCGGGCGCTATTCGAGGATATGGGCTATGGCGGAGGGGGCGTCAATGGCTCTTTACGCTGGAGAGACCTTGCTTTGGACCGACTATTACCCGTCAACGAAGAGAAAGAAGAGATGAAGAGAGCAGCCGAGGCAAGAAAGATGGCCAATGGTGCCACGAGCCAACCACAGCAGCAGCAGCAGCAGCAACCGCCACCTCAAGCAGGAACTGGTGATCAAACTATCGACGAAGAAGACGAGGAGGAAGAAGACAGTGCAGAGCATGATGAGAACGATGTGGACGAAGACAATGTGGAAGATGAGGATGATGATATGTAACTACGGAACTACAGAGACACTGCTCAACCTCTAAGACTCATCGCAGCGACGAGTGCATCGCCTGTATCACTTAATAACAAATTTTTGGCATCCCCTTCTTGTTCGATGACCCACTCGTAGGCTTCCAGCAAAAGCATATCCGTCAAAGGAACGAAATGGTCCGCGAAGACACGGATGATGTTACTAACACGCGAGATTGCAGCGCGTGTAGCATTGTCAATGTCCTAAAAATTAAGTGAGCATCTACTATGCTCCGTGCTAATAATATTTCACCTACATCGTTTTGGTTCGAATACACCGCTTCAGCATCAAAACCCTCTTCTCCTTGGTCACTGTCTTTCACTTGTTTGCTAACCCATATGTAGCCGTTTAACCCTAGGATAAGATCGACACCGCATGGCAAAGATATAAAGTGGGACTTTAATCGCCGAACCAATATTGGGGGCACTGTCACCAGTTGGCCGTTCCGCAGCTGTTACGAAGGCCGCTCAGAATGAAGCCCTTGCCCAGGGGAATGGAATTGACCATGCGGTACTCACCTTGCCGTACTTCAATGACCGCGTGTGTAATGACATGGCGCCATCTGAAAAAAATGCCTGTACTTCCGCAACAAGAAGATCCCCTTCCTCGAAGAAATTTCGCATTTGGAGTTCATCGCTCTCCAATTTCCGACGCTAGCATGAAACGGGTTACAAAGACGATCATTGTTGCGAGGGAGAAACTGACTTGTACCCCTCCGGGTAGATTCACTGACGAAAGCATCAAGACGGCATCCTGCCGCGAATTTGCATCTACTTTCCATCTTCGAGGTTGAACCTATATATCAAACCTTTAATGGAACACTCAAACCCTAGCATGAGGTACATACCTCTGTTATGCGCCCAACGACAAGATCTCCCACCTCTGGATTGTATCTTGATCGAGAATAAACTGCGGAGTACCAGCGAATTTGAAAACCACTTACCTGGTACGAATCGCACGAACGGTCACGAGTTTGTTCACCCGCTCTACGGTCCCCACAACGGAAGCAATGACATCCTCTTTGTCGACATATGTTCCATGCCCACTGGAGATGTCCGTTCAGACACTAAAATATCACTTTCCACAAACTACTTACCGCATGAATGCTTGGGAAGATGTGATGGTTTCCCCCGGGCAAGTCAGCCTCGGCTCAGAACCTGAAAAATCGTCGTCATCTACATCCATAAGATCCTCAACATCTGGATGATGTCGCGTTGATCGATTATAAGTGGAATTGGTAGGTTGTGGTGATGAAAATGATATGAAGGATAACATTTGAGTGATTTTAGGGCTGCGAGTCCTTCAAGTTGATCGCTAGGAGCCTAGGAACGCAAATTAGTGATCGCCCATGGTTACACACATATACGTTGCGTAGCGCACAGCACGTGGGAATGTCTACAGTATCAAGATTCTGACATAACCCTTGCCTTCTTTCTCGAGCAACCTTACAACTTGGCAATGCTTGGTCCTTCTTATTAAGCAACGTGGTAGGGTTGCCAGTGCCTTCAAAGTGCTTAGTACGGTGATCATTATATATGACGGTTCATCGAAAATTTCTGCCCACGTCGACATCACTCCATGCAACCTCTTTCGGGCGATTTTGCACGGCCAATTGCATGCGAGTAACAACCCATCTATTTTATGGAGAGATACAATTAGAGACAGGCAGGCACTAGTAGTAATATAACAAAACAAAGGACTATGAAAGCTACAGATATCGGAACAAAACGACAAACGATATATATGTGCAATAATATATGACAACGAGCTACAATGTTGCAGCGGAAAGGTCAGATAAACTTGCCCTTTCCCCGGATGATGTGACTTATATTCTACTTTTTAAGCACATTAACAACAGAACGCGTTATGCGTTTACTTATAGGCCAAAAAATAAGCCGAGAGAGCGGGAAGATCATTTGACCCTGCATCAGAGTAGCCCTGGCGCCGAGATCCGTTGAACTTCAGGACGACAACTGTGCCGCACCAAGCTTTCGCAGCGGCACCGGACGTAATGTGGTAGATGGCACGGTTAATGGGTGCGCAACGCGACAGCGCGGTTGGGGAGTACCACAGATGAAGGGGAAATCTGAGCGGCTCTCCATTGAGGCCTTGGGTCAAGACAATGCTTTCCGCTTGGCCGTCCGGAAAATGTCCATTGACAAGAGGTTGAGGGCACATGCCCTGCGACGGAACCTGGGATGGACGGCACTTGACCGTAATGATTCTTGGGCGCTCTGCAAGTGATGAGTATGCCGTTATAATATAAAAACGCGTCGGGATTCACCTTCTTCGGGAGAGAAGAGGATGGCAGAAAACCATAATCACTTGCTGCTCAGCAGGCGGTGGAGTGGCAATAATATTATAATTTTGGGCATGAGTTGCCGGAACACATTCCTTTCGATGGCGTGGCCAATCCTGGATGTCGTCATTAATAAGTCGCGTATCCATCACGCGACTGTCGTTAAAGACTTACGCTTTGAAGGTGTTCGGGAGTGCAATACCATGCAGATTGGCAGCGGCTGCACCACATTGAAGTGGGCCTGCAGCACACTGTACAAGGGTGGTTAATGAGAGGAACAGGGTTCATTTTTGGATGGGCCCGAAGTTTGGGAGATTAAGATGAGTCCGTAGAAGGTCAGATGAAAAGTGGCTAGTTAGGAAGCTTATGGCGAGTCCGTCGAGCTTAAATATGGCTGGAGCGCGCTTAGGTTTCAAGGTTTAGCTAGGTCGACAGGTACCCTTCACAAGGGTTTTCGCGTGAGAGAGGTGAAGCCCACATGAAGACCGTTGAGTTGTTCGGGATCTGAGTTTGAGGATCGGAGATCTGTGAGGCGATGCTTCAGGCACTAGTACTGCCAGTTGATCAGCCAGCTTTCAAGTGGCGCACGTTATGTACCTACGCTTTGTATCCACGGTAAAGCTGAGTGAGCTAATCGGGATCAAAAGATGACGTTGTGGCCAATCGTATGCTTTAGCACGTCGTAAGGTGACCCGTCTGAGGTGAGACTCTTGAGGAAACTTGAATACGGAAGACAAACGCCGAAAAAAAAAAGCTTAACATCCCTTGGAAGGGGGGATAAACGTTGGGAGAGCATAAATTTAAAGGCGAAAATAAAAATGATGGCACAAAGCATAGCAGGGCATAGCATGTCATCCAAGTTAATTCTCTGGAAATTCAATCCTCCGTAAGATTGCTCACGAGTTTTCTATTGAGCTTGCGCATCCGATACTCGGAGTACTTCGGGCATAGTGTCCTGCAAATTTTCATGTCTGTGTGGGAGCGCATGCCAATCGTACAACCTGAACTGTAATACTGTCGTTGCTGACTTACGTGAGTTGACCATTGAATCAGAATCTAATTCTAACTTCAACAGTCTCCATGAACCTCGTAGCCTAGGACAAACCGTGACTGTTCATCAATGACTGGCCGCTTGTATTGCACGGGCGCTTGTTTTGAGATGACAGCAAAGTCACGTCGAAGTCACTTGACAACACCACTGTAGTCCTGCAGCCGACAGGGACGATCTGGTCATGTTGTATGCCGGTCTGCCGCCATGACCTGCCTTGTCACATTAGTCACACGTCACACTAACCGCATCCAACAACCACCATGTCCGACGATGAAATGAATATCGACGAAGGTACTTGTATCACGAGTTCATGGTTTAAGATCGTGTTTTAACTCAGGATAAGTCGCTAGCGGCGGCGCTGTGAGGCGGAGAGGCAGGGGTTTCCAAAATACGGCAGGTAATCACTATTCAAACCCGCGTTTCACCTATGTCCAACTAAAAATGCGATAGGCGGAAACGATGGTACAGTCACCGCAGAGCCCACTTATGACAGGGTTGAATCTTCTCATGTCAAGGACGACACAAGAGCCGCGCGATGTAAGTATGTCTTGGCTTATTCCACCGCATCGGGCTTACGAATAATCCTTTACCATATTCCACACTCTCTTTGCACAGCCGTTGAAGGTTGGATTGTCTTGGTCACCAATGTACACGAAGAGGCAACAGAGGAAGATTGTCACGGACAAGTTTGCAGAGTTCGGAGAGATAAAAAACCTCCATTTGAACTTGGACCGGCGCACAGGTTATGTCAAGGTCCGTCCACCGCATCGAGGGAACAAGAAATTTTTCCATTCATTCAATTACAGGGCTATGCACTCGTGGAATACGAGACCATGGCTGAGGCTCAGGCTGCTATCGATGGCGCGTCGGGAACGTCATTACTAGAACAAGCGGTCCAATGCGACTACGCGTTCGTTCGGCCCCCTCCATCGGGCCCGAAAAAAGGCAGAGGAGGTCGGGAAGGACGCGGTCGGAGTGCTAGTCCATCACGCAGACAAAGAGACTGAGGTTATTCCCTTGGATCTGCGATGTCTGACTGTATTCAGCTTTGTTTAATGTAATTTGATGAATCCTGTTCTCCCGCAATTACATCTATTCACCGATGCGACGCGACGGCGCGCTCATAAAAGGTCCCGGCGAGACTTTGTCAGACCTGCATATCGTCATAGATAAATAATGTGTTGGGTGAGTGGAGCCGCAGTCGGACAGTGTATAACTTAAAGCTGTTGCCATTTGGAGCACCTTGAAACGCATGCATGAGCATGGATGCACGGCGCGGTTTGGCTGCATATACCTCCCTGCAGGTAATACAATACTGCCAGATTACACACTGCAGACTGCAGTCAACACCAGGGGTTTGCCGAGTACCTTTGTTTACCTTTGTTCCAATCGATTACATAACGCCCGCGCCACCAAGTTTCTTGTGCAGCATTGAACTGAGTCTCGAATCGAACTTGCTCCAATTACTACTCCACACAAGCAGTCTGATATGCCTCGAGCGACAGATGCAATGACTTCTGACTCGGATGCGGACATGTCGCGCGCGAAACAGAAGAAGGAGTACTCATCCAAGAAGAATCGCGTATCCTCTTCAGAGCCCGACCTCGCGTCAGAGAATGAAGAGGCAACTGGAGAGGAGGGCGACGAGCAGGAGGAGGAATATGAGATTGAGGAGGTCATGGAATCCCAAAAAGGTTATTTTGGTGATGTACGTTCATCATCGTGTTTTAACAAGGGGAATGTTGACGCGTCTTAGGGCAAATTTGGCTATTTCGTGAAATGGAAAGGCTACCCCTCTGAGGACAACAGCTGGGTGCACGAGGATGATGCAGCGTATTTGATTTCTCCTTGCATAAATTGACTCAAACAAACTCGAAATCTATTTTAGCAATGCGCAGGACCTCATCAATAAGTATTGGGAAAAACAAGCGCAAAGCCAGCAAGGGTGGTCCCCGCAAGTCCACAGATACTGGCAGACCTAAAACCGGCCGTAAATCCACCATTGTAGAGGAGACTCGAGAGCCCACGCTCTCCGCAAAGAAACGTAGTAGGCCGAAGAAAGCAGACCAGGAGGAGCAGTCGGAGAAGGAGCAGGAAGCCAGCAGCGAGGACGACGATGCTAGAGCAAAGAAAAAACCACGTAAGAGCCAAGGGGCTTCTGCGAAAAAGGTCACGAAACAGCTGGCTGAAGATGAAGAGGTGGTCACTTTCGGTAGTATGAAGAAGCACATGACTATTGCAAGTTGGGAGAACCTTGTTGAAACCATCGATACAATCGAACGCGGAGACGAGGGTGACCTCTATGTGTACTTCAAAATGTCCGTGGATTTGTCCTATTTTAGATTCCTGGATACTAAACATATCTGCAGAAAGCACAGCGATGTCCGAATGCGGGAAGTTTCCCGACTTTGTGCTCAAAAGTTCCCTCAGAAGGTGTGCTGTGAAAACCTGGCTTCTGGACAACATATTACTGACTCGACCTGCCAAGCTCATCAAGTTCTACGAGTCCAATCTACGATGGAGGATCGACGGCGAAGATGCAAATTAACGCCGTACGACACAGCGGCATCCAATTGGAGTTTCTTATTTTGTTTTGCTCATTGCTTTATCTCGTTTCATACATACCAAACATGAGACTGAACTTGTTAATCGTGTTTTACTTCAGGTTCACATGTCCAAAATTAATGGGATATACGTTATGCATTTCCAGGACACTCAGGCTCTCGGCGACCATTATGTTAATGTAGGGTCCGTGTATCATCTGCATGGCTGCGACACACCCTGCCATCACTTGCAAATGAGTGTGTGCATGATAGTTCCGCACAGCATTGCCCAAGTGCTTCCGGAAGCATTTTGAGTAGGTGGGTCGTACAACCAATGACACTCGACGCCACTGAGGGACGCGATGGTGGAACGAAAGTCATCCATTCACGGCAAATGCACATGGCACTAGGTGTCATCACGTTATCCCGGGACCGTCCCGACGGATAGTGCGAGTTAGTCACTGGCCGTGGGTGTATATGCAAAGTTCAATTCACTCTGAAGTCTAGTGCGGCCGCTCGCACTAGCGGCAGGGTTAATGTGTCCGTGTTGTCACAACCAATCCCTTACGTGTGACATCTACTCGAAGTTTTCTCCCTGCGAGATGCTATGAGTTCAAGAGGTAAACAGGGCCACTGACCTGACGTGGCACAACAAATTACCTTCAGAACTTCCCTGAAGCTCCTGAACGACGAGTTGTCAAAATATGCACACGTGTGAGGATATGCGGTGGCCACGCGGACGAGGAACGAACCCTGAGCGGCCATTAACTACTTACAGTGAGCGAAGTTGACTCATCTGATTTAGGGAGTGGCACGAGCAATGATGCCGTGGCTCTTGAGGATCATAGTCATATCGGCACCACAGAAATTCCGGGCGTCAATTAATTCAAGCAACGCGGCGTGATGGTGCCGGTGAACGTTAATTGAGCAGCTGGGAACCGTGATAGAACGGCGATGACTTCATATGCGGCAGTACTACGGGGGATGATTGTGATTTGATCAAAGCTATGCCATGAGTAAGAAGAAATAACGAGGAATGCAAGGTAGCAAACCGTAAACATAGTAGATGTCATAAATAATCCAAACATGACACAGTTGAAATTCATAGTTCTGTGTGAGGAATAGCAGTGCTCTCCAAATGCTCCTCCTCCGCCTCGCGAACCAGACTCGACACAATTTCTCCTGCGTCCGCGTCATCGCGAGAATTGTACCCTGAACTTTCCTCTAGAGGCTCAACCTTCCCAAGTGCCTCCAGTACTTCCTCCTTGCTCCGTCCAATAACAACAGGGGGGACATAGGCGCGCTCACCCGCACCTTCCTCCGGTATTGGAAGAATTGAGACCTCTGGCCCCACATCACGCTCTGGAACAGTAGCTGTTCCTTCTCCTCATCCTTTTGGACGCTATTGAATGCACGCTCGCCGTCGCGCTTTATGCGCCTCAAGCGTGTCTCAAATCCAATCACGACATCCTGGACCTCCGATTCAAGGTCCTCAAAGATAGGAATGATCGGGTTATCCATCATCAGATTCTCATGCGTGCCGTTTTGGATCGAGTTTGCTTCCTGAGCGAATTTCTCGCTGGCTGTGGCAATAAAGAGGAATTATTAGTTTAACAGGCTACGTGACAGGAACAATGGATAGGGGGACTCACCGTCAATCAGGGAATGGTACCGCTGCCAGTCTGAATACGTCACTTCGTCAAGCCAAGCATAGTCGAGCCCTAGGTCGACTTGGGCTTTTTCCGCGACTTCGCGAACTTCGGCAGTCACAGCATAAACCTGTGCAACAGATAAAGTACAATCAGTGACCGATTTTTTAGGCAAAACGTAAAATTAAAAGAACGCAGGAGGCTCAGTCGTGGGAAACTATAACATGGGCGGGGGATAGAAGATGCGAAAGGGCAGGCGCAAAAGCACAGAAAAAGAAAATTAAAGGGCAGTGGTCCGAAACCAACGGAAATGACCAACAGACTGGCGGAAAAAACGCAAAGGACAACAAGGAAAAAGAGATAACCAACCTCGCGCAGCTCCTGATCCAGGATAGCACCGTACCACATGTTGACCACAGCCTCCACAACCCCAAGACGCTCTGAAAACTTCACGCCAACCTTCTCAACCACTCTTTCCCAGAGCGGCATCTTCTCGTCGTTCTTCCGGCTCTCTGCCTTTAGATTCCTGAGATAGATCTCGGCGCCTTTAATATACTTCTCCGCGTCAGCAACAAGGCTCTCGATGGCATCTCGAATATCAGGCGCCTCTGCAAGCTCGGCGGCAGCAGTGCCCCTGATCTCCCTAAGCCTGCCCCTGAGCGTAGACGAACTAGTCTCCATCTGAGACCGAAGTTCGGTCTCCCACTTAGAGTGGCGGGCCTCAATGTCAGCACGTTTGCGGGTAGTCTCCTCAGCTTTAAGGCGTAATCGTTCAGCGCGCTCTTCCTCCGACTCTGGGGGATTGAGGAGCACTTGCTCGTGAGACTGGGATGTGGTCAAGGGTTCATCGAGCCCAAGTTCGGCGTAAAATGCGTTAATGTCGATCTCATCGTTGTCACTGATATGTGCAGGAACCGAGCTGGAGGCAGTAGAGCTAGTGGGGGCTGCGGAAGTGATAAATGGACTAAAACCATCGGTAACAGCAGATACGATCGATGAAGTGGCTGATGCACTCTCTGACAAGACAGGCGACGCGCTCTGGGGGATTTGCACTGGTGTTGGCACAGAGTTCGAGGGAATGTGAGAAGAGGACGCGGATGCCGGTTGTGAGGTAAGGTATGCAATCGGCACGGCGTCGAATACGGCGGGTACCTCGGTTTCTACGGCTGTCATTGCATCCTCGTTTAAAAGCGTTCCAACGGCTGTCTCCGTCGCTTTGCCGCGTGGTGGATCTGTTTCCACGGGAGGTTCATCTGCGGATGTGGGTATGATCGGAGCGTAAGTTGACTCCAGCTCCAATGTCTCAGAAATAACAGGTTCTGAGCTTGGGAAGTCCGTTGCGTCGGATGGAGCAAAAGTAGATGCTGAAGTCGCTGGTGACCCGCGGCTTAACTCCTTAACTTTCTCCCACAATTTAGCCACATGAGGGTCGACAAAGATCCGTCTCTGTTCCCTTAGGAACAAAAGCGCATACTGCACCTCAGCAACGATTCTCTTTGCCACAGGGACCGCGTGAGGCTTTGCTGCATAATAAGTGTCCTGAGTTTTCTGGATGGCAAGGAGGATGTAAGGTTGTGCTTTTTGCTGCCATCGTTGCAGGTTGTAAGTAGCAGTACGCACGTGCGGAGCTATGCGCGTGGTGTACGTCGCTTCCGCTTGCTCGACATACGACTCTGCATGCGCAACGTAGGGTTTGAGTTTGCTCAATCGCGGCGCGATATGCTTGTCGTACTGAGGGACGACGTGTTTCTGCCATTGGGGGACAACGCGCTTTTCCCATTGGGGGACAACATGGGTCGTGAAGGCAGGAACCACACGGTTTATCCAAACTGGAACAACGCGCTTTTCCCATTGGGGGACAATACGTCTGGTCCACTCTGCTTGCGTACGAAAGATGATGGGACTTGCAACCTCGGTTATGCGGTCCACATATGGCGCGATAGAAGGGTGCGCAAGCGCAGCCTGTATTGGTGGGATAACGTACGGGTCAAGAACAATACGTTTGTACTCAGATAGGCCGCGGCAAGCGGGGGATTGGAGATGTGCCTCACGAGGGCACACGGCAAAGACGTAGACCGTGAAGGCGAGCACAAGGAGCTTAGTGAGGAAGTCCAGAAGGGACTGGATAGTGGATTTGCGTTTCTTCTTCTGTGAGTGAGTCGGTGTCGGTGAGTCGAGATGCATCAGAGCGAGGAGAAAGGGAAACGTACTTTGCCTGATTTCTTTGGCTTGTCTTTCTTTATTTTTTTGTGTTCATCCTGTATCGCATGATTAGCCCCTTACAACAGACTGGGCAAACGACAAGCGGAAAGCAACACAGATCCAAGCAAAAGACGCGAAAGGTACGCATATATTTCTATTGGTCTGTCTAGAAATTCATTGCGGCTACTCGCCTTGTCGTTATATTCCTTGAAGTTATTAGAGGCTTGGGTGATAGCTGCGGTGTGGGCGTCTCCGGATGCCAGTGGGCTTGACACACGAGGTACTGCAGATGCGTCCTGTATTACAGATGCTCTAGCTGAGCGTGGTTGACCTTGTGAAGATGGTGTACGAGAAACTGGAGGTGCTGGCACCACTGGAGTTCTGCGAGTAACAACCATTGCAGACTGCAAAGTACCAAGTGCCTATGCTATGCAAGATTATTGTTGAAAATATAGAATTGAGCCTAGAAAGAAAGCATAGATTTTTGTGGCAGGGAAGCGTGCGGCTGGCGTGGCAGACCTATAATACTCGTGAAGTACTTATGTTGATTGTGGTTTGTTTTTGGAGCCACCCGTGACGCGCGAAGGTTGTTTGCTCGTGTATGGCAAAGGCTTCGTTATGTAATCCGCTTCTAAATATCGCGCTATGTAGGAGAACACAGTAATTCTCTGCGAGTTCTGCCGGCGGAACTCCTCCCAAACAGCTTTTCCCGCGACACTGGTACTTAGCTACATATATCCCCCCGACGGAACACAATTGCCTTGTGAAAGATTCGGTCATTTCCAATATAAAATACGGTATTATGCATTATCATGCAATTGAATGGCACTAGCGGTGAATATTTGAATGCCTTTTATCCTCGGGCTTGCAAGGGATGTCTCCGACTCCGCAACGCCTGATGTACTGATACCAGTCGACAAGCACGACTGTCTTCCTTTCTTAAGGCAAGTAAGTGCCAATTGGGACGTGTAGTGTTTGGTCTTGTGTGGTAACAGCTTCGTTACATAATCAAGCGTGCTCCACAACGCCGCATGATCCGAATCGTCGGATGTTGTGATCGCGCATGCTCGAGCGCTCAACAGTCTAACTGCACAAAGACTGACGATGGCTCGACAGCCAGTCAAGGTAACCTATGCACACAAACGGGGACGTGCAAAAGCTGCTGCAAAGCTCTTGTCTTCTCCACTTGAGGCCCTTCCGCCTGATCGTGATGATATTACGCGTTCAGAGATGTCTAGGCGAATGCTCAAACGCTCTCGGGGTGTCGCTAACCAAGACAACGATACAGTGCGATCCAAGGGTCGTGCCATGAAACGTGCCAGGCAGACTGTCGAATCAGATGCTCCAGAAGCAGAAGCTGATGTCGACGCGTTCCAAACGCCATTTCCTTCTGCGGAGTATGTCCATTCGTCTTCAGTTACGCGTCCATTAGTACAGGAAGAGTTCTCTCCCGTACCAAATGTCAAACATGCTCTCTCACGCACGAGCTCGCGAAATTTGAAGGAGAATAGTGCATCCCTTCCCCTTGCTTCACCTTTCCATAGCCGTCCCTCCTCCCCTCACACTGGCTCCACAACCAAAGCGAAGGCGCGATCATCTCGCATTCCCCTTCATTTGAAATCCCGCACGCTTTCTGGTGCCTTCCAGAAAAATGATAGTGCATATACTCACCGCAAACTCTCCCACAAGGACTCGACCATATCGCTGAATGACAGGAAACTTTCCCGTAAAGACTCTATGATATCCCTCGATTATACCAGGCTCTCCCACAAGAACTCTACACACTCTCTCAATGAGCTAGCCAGATACTCACCTTCGAAACATCAACGTCGCCCCTCGAGCCCAGATCCCTCGTATACACTATCTCATATCACGCAGCAGGACTGGATCTCCCCGACTAAAGAACTTACAATACATGCAGGTATCTGCGAGCCCGTTCCGGATTCGATTATTCAACACAATCCGATTCAAAGTTTGTCTGCATCGCTCTTTCTTGTTGATCGTCCCCAGTTCTTCTCCACCCCGCTGGATAGCCGCTCTGGCAGCAGGACAGGCCTCCAAGCACCGAAATCTCCAAACATAAGCTTACTTGCCCCTTCCCCACGCCTTCCGCGCGACATGGACTTTGAAATGGCAGATTACACCGAGCACCGCAAGGTCCGCATCTCAGGCAATAGCATTATCTCTTCCTCCGGCTCGTTCACGCTCAGGGCTCACCAAATTCCAAATGCCCTCGACGTTGGTGAGGACCACCTTGATAGTGCTGGCAGTGCACCTATGTCTATGTCTCTTGACGTACTTCCTCAGAAGATCTCAATGGGAGAACACATGATTCCTCTGGCGTCTTCTCCTCCCCCTACTTCGGACTTGGCTAATTTCAGACCACAGCACAAGGTCTCACTAGGTCAGAATATCTTAGCACTTCCTGGCTCAAGCCCGCCGGTCTCCTCGGCGCCTACGGTTGTTGCAATACGCACTGCGATCGGCCAACGATGTCTCGTATTTCCGTCTGGATCAAGCTCGCCTGCTCCACACTGCCCAGGTTCCGCCGCGAGAAACGCGTCATCTGATTTGCCTCCCCGTGGTGCTACTTTAGGCATGGGCGCACCAAGTGAAGCAGACCTGATCCAAGATATGCTATCGCTTGATTTAGGCGGTATGTGCATGCTCTCGGTGGCTACACCTCGCTTCCAGACCGTGATGTGATTCACATCAATTTCTTCATGCTTCTCATCCCTCGCGTTTACTAGTTTTCGTTGCTTTTGCGCAGAAAATCCTCTCTTAGGTTCCGATTGATTTGCGTTTGCAAGATACTAAACCACTTCTTCGTATCTACAGATAGACACGATGATAGTACCCAGTTCCCAATTCGTACCCGTTCCCTCGAGAGCCCCGCTGGCATTAGCGCTAAGAAAACGAGCGCCACCAAGCACAAGAGGAACCGCGCTGGCACTATCCGCGCATCTGACTTCACACAGCCTAAACCCCCTAGCACCGGTGGTTCCACGCTAACCTCCCTCGTTTCGACTATCGCCGGGCCTGCTGGTTCTCTTCCTGGCCGCACACGCTCCGGTACAGTTGTCGGCCCCAACTCGAAACTCGCGATACGGCCACACGCGAAGGGAACCATGAGAAAACAGCCCGTGATGCAGCTAACGCGACGTGATGCCCACAGTAGGTCGGAAGATGGCATGGACATTTTCAAGGTGCATGATGACGTGGGCCCATGGAACACTGAGGAGCCCAACTACGCTGGTGTAGTGCAGAGGCTGAAAGGCAAGAGAGGGAAGAAGAAGGTTGCGCATGATGAAATTACGTCAGATGATCCGTTGCTTATCATTGGTCCATGGAAGGACGAAGATTGGTCTTAAGGTGAGAGTGTGTGACTCTTGCCTTTGAAGTTGACTCATTCACTCTTACAAGTTCCCTTTCACTCAGGCGCTGTCAAAATGCTGTCTGTTTTCTTCGTGTATTTTATTCTTGCACTTGTGCATTCACCTCATGGACTTTGTCGGACTCAGGATAGTTTGTACATCACCTGTTTATCATCAACTCTGCATGTGATCGTATGCTAGTATGCTGTGACCATTACAATATCGCTCCTGCCACGAGTTGACACTACCACCTCATGCATTACGTGATTATCATGCGATCTTATTGAACCCATCGCATTTGCCATCACCCGCCGCCATACAGGTATCATGAGTCAGATGAAGTTCTCGAAGGTGAGTGGTAAAAACACCTCCTATCAACTTGCACATGATCCGATTCATTGTCCGCCTGTGATATAAACCGGTCATTAAAATGCGGCTTCACCGCGTATCTACAAGAAATTAAACGATCATTCGATCAGCACATAATGACTCCCCGCTGCCATCGTGAAAAATCTTTCAGGTTACTGACAAGTACTGCACAACGAGGGATTGGTTGATTACGCCGGTGCCGTCCAACATACGCAATTCATGACAAGATGTACTACTTGGAGCTACTAATCTCAAACATCCACAAGTGCTGAGTAGAGCCGGTGTTGCTCTCGGTCTCGATCTGCGACACGATATCAGAAGACATTCCATCAGGAGAGGTAGTAATAGACGGTTCGTACAGGTGAGTTCTCGTCCCGTGACTTGAGTTTCCAGGCCCAGTCGTCCGTGCCTTCGATCTCAATACTGAAGGGAAGCCCCTTAAGAGACGTAGTGGTTCTACTCGCGATTATAGACTCACGAATAACCCTTCGGCGAGCTGCTTTCTCTGATCAAAAAAAGCCAAGGGTTGTTAGAACAAGTCAAAGATAGAGTCTGGAATGGACAATAATTTCATTAGCTCACTATTCGTTGAGGTGAAAGAGGGCGACTTACATTGGGGTCGAAGTAAATGTATTCATCACATACTACTCCGTTGCGAACCGCTTGGAATGTTGCCATTCCAACCTCATGAAACATTGTAAACCACTGCAGGAATGCATTTAGAGAAAGTCGCGGCAAGCTATAAGAGTTGGTCTATAGAATCGATTGTACCTCAATCATGACTCCAGGTTCCTTAGAGTGTCCAACGATGTTGCCGTTGACGAGAGAGACATATCGCCCTGGGCACGCAACACTTGCCAGCTTGTAGGTATTAGTGTGCATATTATCTGATAGTTGTGAATGTGAAAGCTATAGATGAATAACTCAGATAGACAGACAAATACTATATACCTCGAGCTTTGCCAAACCGAGCACGAATCAAGGTGTTTTTTTCGGTGAATCTGAACCCTTATTCATCTACCCGTATCAGAGTTGTTCGCACCAGAGTAGAGCGCAAGTGTCGTAAATTGTGTCAATGAGGTGGAGTGGAAGACGTTCCCTTTCAAGCAAGTGTCCTGTGACTTGAATGCAATTAGATGGTCATTTACATAACGAATAGATGGCGTTGTAAGCTAATTGGTCGAGGGCTTTAATATTTCACTTAGTAAAAACTAATGACGAGAATGCTTTTAAACCACTTACCTCTTTCAGTTACAGTTGGGTCCCATGGGGTAAGATGTTGCGCTGTTCCTCAGCGTTCCTCTGCTAGCCAAGATGTTCCCACACGTGCACCACGGATATGAGGTGAAATGGAAGATCAAAATTCCCTTCTGAGGGCGGTGTCCTGTGATTTGAATGGACAAGCAGTTGCCCTGTGATTTACATAACAATGAAACGAATGAGCGAGATGCAGCCTTGCACAGCAGACGTAATAAGGAGGATGCCCCAGAACACCCATCAAGTACACGATACTCGCACGGGGACGGTAGTAAACTCGAAAGGCCAGTCGCCTTCCACCCATGTGGGCCAATGTTCAAGTTCAATAACAGGGCAAAGTTGGTGGATATAGTTGTCAATCAGGATTAACATACCACAATCTGTCATTGGCCTCTAGTGGCGTCAAGCCCATTGATGGTCTTGCCAACTTCGTCAGTCTAGCACCAACGAAGTGGCCAGACATAGTCAATGTCAATACCAGGGCTCAGTACCCACGACGCCGGTGCGCATTTGTGTGTTCTGGTTATTAACTGTTGACCGATCGCAGCAGAGCCAGAGGATAACGGTGGGCAGTTTATGGTATAGGTTTGTCCCATCCTGTCAGAGTGCAAGACAATTAGCTCGAGATAAACATTCGAGAAGAAGTGACTGCAATGAGGATTAATCTACAATTGCTCTAACTTCCACAACCACAGTCTGCCGATCAGACCTACATCAGGAGGAGTTTTTGGTCCCAACTCTTTCATACCATGTTGAAACAAGTTACGCCATCCACCAGATGTGAACCCCAGATTTAAGAACCATGTGTTTCCAGCTGAAGACGCATGTGAGTACGTAGCATGAAGAGGGTGCGAAAAGCAGACCTTCCGAGGTGGATCAATTGACGGCTCTAAGCGAGGCGTCATTCTGAAAAAAAGGAGATAGTACTCATCCAAGTCGCTTAAGAGCTGTGAACCTGCCAGTCACGGTGATGGCACTGATAGAGCTACTGATGTTTAAATATGGCGCACGCTGAGTGCTGAGCTGTGGTGGGTTTCATCCGATCCCAACACTAATCCTCAGCTGTCTAGCAGGCAGAATTTTATGAGAGATGGCATTATGAACTGGCCGCCACTCAAATCGGGGACCCGACTCGCTGACTCAAGAACAACTTAACTTACTAAGCTTAGTACGTTATTCCAAGCCAATCAAGTCGCTCGATCGACCCCACATGACGAATTTCTCTAGGTACCATAGCCTCGCGGCCAATAATAGGTTTTACAGGAAAACACGCACCTTCCGCATGTCCGAGTTACGATATCTCCTCATATCAACACCACCATCATTATCTGCCATCCACCTCGCCTGAACTGCAATCAGCGAGCCCTTGTATTGCCAGAGGACTACCATGGACTTATATGATACTTTACAGGTGCGTCTCCCCACTTTGCCACTTGTTCCGTAGTGCTGAATGCTATCGTAACTCGACCGCGAAGACCGAATTCCCTCAAATTGATACTTCCCTTCTTGCAGCTATCATTGCAGACCATGTGCAAGAAGGGGACGACGCAACTCACTCCTCCGACCAGGTCGAGACTATACGAGATATATTAAAAGTTCTCGCAAACCAGGCGCAGGAGGATGAGTGCGAGCTAGACGACATTATGTCTACTACGTCCCTCACCACTCCGGACCTGTGCGACAGTACAACGACCGCAAGCGAATCATCGTCATCTCAGCACTCATTCAGCTCACCACTTGGCTTCTTGCAAGAGGCTTTCTCGGACGTGCCTATGGAACGCCTCAAGCGTCTACTGAGAGAAGAGTGTGGAGAAGCCCTGGAGGGAGACGGAGATGTCGACATGGAAAGACTGGTGGAGTATATCTTAAACATGGAACATATACGCGACCTTGAGGAGCGCGGAATCGATGCCCTTGAACACACTCCACCATTGCTTGATGGGACTGGGAAACCGTCATACATACGAAACCGAAAGTGACACCTAAGCTCGCCATACCCACAAAAAAGAAGGCCAAGGGCCGCACGATTAAAATTGTGGACATGATGCAGACGCAGCATGCCCCCCCTTCTCCAGCACAGACGAAAGGGATGCAAAAAGAGGGCATGGCTATGGGCGCGGGTGTGGACATATGGACGCAAGTTTCCTCGCTTTCTACCCAACTCGCTGCACTACTTCCTCCAGCCCCACCGTCACATTTTGCCTCCTTTTTTCACTCTCCAACGCACGCCACACCCGCGCACGCCCTCCGCGCTGCTCTTGCAGCCCTGCCTTCTACTTTTACTACCGGCGTCAAACACAAAGCAAAGCAAAAATCCCCTATCAAGAAATCTGATGCAGATGCAGAAACCAACACGCTATCCGCCCTTCTCGACCTCCTCCAAGCCTCGCCCACTTTCGCCACTCTTGATACGGAACAACGTAATACTTTGTACGCAGACGCTCGCATCGCACTCTCTGCCGCACAGAACAGGCCGGATGATGCTCTAGATATCGTCTGGATCCTGCGTGACCTCGAGCATCCCGCAAGCCAAGCAGGAGTATACCACCTCCCACCTCCTGTTTCAGGCTCAAATTCGAATTCTACTCCTGCACGTGCAAAGTTGCCAACCGGTCCTCCGTCTGTGCAGGCTCCACCAACGTCGAAGCGGAAATTCACATCCTCTCCTTCCAGTCCTATCACACAGCACCAACCCCCGGAGTCATGGCAGGACGTGCCTATTCGATCCCCCCGAACTATACAACCCCCGGAGAACTCCAACCCCACGAACAAGCGTAAACTCCGTGGCGCGAGCAATGCACTCGGCAAGGGCGGCAACGGGACAGGAGGGAACGTCTCTGGGGCGCGACATGCGCACTTTTCGCGCGAGATACTTCAGGCGCGCATACAGCGCGGAGAGCTGCTGCGCAAGGCGGGCCAGGCATGGCGGGGGTCATTAGGTGGGGAGGTGGCGCTGTACTATGCGCAGAGAGCGAGGGAGGTTACGGAGAAGGCGCGGGAGGACGCGTTGGACGAGGCAAGGGGGTTAGTTGAGGCGAAGAGGTGAGTTTTTCTGTCTTCCACCCTGTACACATATTTTCGAATTTCCTCCCAGTACTCTCAGAATTGATACTAATGCACCCTGTAGATACGCTTCCAACGACAAAAGATCCATCGACCTACACGGGACGTCTGTTCAAGAGGCGATAGTGATCACAAGTGAAATATTAGAGAGAGAGGGATGTTCACCTGGTAAGTGCGTTGTTACGCTCTGTTTGTCAGTTGCTGGGCATTTTGCTGAACGAAGCTATGTGTGTGCGTCTGTATCACTTTGACCGCTGTCCCATAGCATCCCCTCTTCGCCTCATTACTGGTCGCGGTACCCACTCTGCAGGGGGCGTGGGCGTATTGAAGCCCGCGGTACACCGTGCGCTCGTGGACAAGGGCTGGGATGTAAGGATGTGGGACGGAGGGTTGGTCGTCCGGGGACGGTAGCGATGACATGTGCCTTGATCTTTATATGTACGCGGGCTGATGGATATTTATACGATTTTTCTTGGATTTGTTGTATCTTACGTCCATGTATGTCGTATATCCGTGTTTCGTCGATACCTCCCTTCCCTTTCTTTTTCTCTCTTTTCGTATGTGTACTTTACTGACCTGATTGTGGTCTTGATTTCCATTGTATACTTAGAGGTGTGTCGTTTGTCTCGTGAGGTATATGCCTCGTTATACATCTATTCCTATGCTTAGGCGGTTCCGTCATTGAGTAATGGGGCGGGGTGAAAGTGAGCTTTTGTTTCACAGATTTGCTACTTTCTAGCTGTAACATTTTCCGACAGGGCGACTCTTCACAATTTGGAAGACTGTAATGGTCGTCTCCTAGCGCGTTATCGTCCGTTATTAGGCTCAATACCCGAAATCGAGCTGGACGATCATCGGTCGTGAGACCAGTGACACGAAATAAGGAAAGCCTGGAAAGTGCGCACCAGGCAAGACCAGGCATCGTTCTCCCATGACAAAAGTGCCCAGACAGGTCGCAAGATCGGAGTCGGAGATCCCAATTCCTCGATATTCACGGAAATTTTGAAGAGACGTGATAGTTTCAAACTTCTGATGGTGAATATGGGAAGTCTGACACTCGGGGAGATGGAGAACTTCATTGCGTTACCAAAACAAATCGTTGAAAAGGAAAGGCACCACAGAGCCTACCAACTCCGAACCAGGGCAGATTTAATCGAAGCCATTTCCTTTGTTACCAATGAGTCTGAAAGAGTATCGCGAAATGAACTGAATCACCTTATCCAGGTCTATAATTCACTGCAACTTGCAAGCAAGCTCCAAGTCAGGATATTCATGGTCGTTAAAGTTGTGGTATACGTACTTGGATGATCTCGGCCAGCACTAGTAGTGACGTCTACACCTACTAATTGTTCACACAGCCACATCATTACGGCACGTGGCGACCATAGGCATAGTATTAGTAACTGCGCTTGTTCTTCAAGCTCAAGGTCTCCATCGAAGACGACAAGCGACCTTCTCACAAACGTTCTTATTGTCAAACAGACTCGGGCCTAAGAAGCGGAGCACTATAAATTGCCATGTTATTCTACCTTTCGCTCCTCGCAGTCCTGGCATCACTGGTGATGGGTGAGTACCCGCAGCAATAGACGATAGGTTATAAGGCTGGATAAGCTAACTTGCTCCTCCCAGTCGGTTACCGCTACCGTGCAACTCTCCCTACGAGAGTTAAGGCTTTCTTCCCAAGCCTTAACCACTACACGCCGCTTGCCTCTTTTTCTGATCAGGCGCGTGCAGGGCTGAGCTCTCCAATGTTCGACATTGAGTCAGCCAACATCGCTGAGGGAGATTCGCGAGCGGGACTGGACGAACAGGGAACGCAGGAGGTGCTGGACATCATGCGTGCTCAACGGGTCAAGTAAGTGTTTCGTTTACGTGGGCCCTAGCGTGGCTTATCAGAACTTCATTCACATAGTTTCGACCAAGCAAGATTGATTCGCCATAATCAAATCCTTGCTCGTAATGGGATCGATCCGTCAGGTCAGCGTTAACATAATCTTGTAATTCTTGGGAATTCATCATGGTGTCTTACAGGCATGCCCCTTGATTCGAAGGCCATTACGAGGCTGTGATCGATTTCTCTATAACTACTTTCGTAAAATTTTCGCGCTATCAGTACTATCATCGAGCCCACCCATATCACTCCTTCGTCTTCTCCCATTTGGCACGGACCTTGTTGGATTTATATCATATACTCTTTTGTATTTAGTGCATGAAAAATGCTGTGGTTTTCATGGTCACTGCCCTCGCTTAGGCAGATATCTGCATGTTGAACTTCGATGGCGAGTCAGGGACATAAGTATTACAGCAACGTATCCTGCAGGCAGCGCGTGCAGGCCGGGTAAGGTATGAAGCACTATACAGGCCTCAGGGATGGTACCTACTTAAGTATGGGCAGTGCCGGAGTGGGGCCCTCTGGGGGAGAGCTGAACTAAGATGCTCAGATTTAGGTCGAGTTTCCTTTTGAGAACAGAAGATAAACAATCGGTGCCAATTTCGTTTTTTTCTATGAATTTGCCCTGCAAAAGTGTATGCATGTCCCGGTCAATCGCGTACTTACTAGTCCTAATTTGTATCCGCCATGCCACCTTTTCGGCGGGCGTCTTCCAAGAATGAGGACGAGGCGTATACAGAGGTAAGCTCGTGAGGTGATATTAGTAAATGGCCCGCCTATGACGCGACTTGCAGGGAGTCACCCAAGCGAAACGGCAGAAAGGCAACTCGGGAAGGATCATGGCCCCTTCTCCAAACATGCGTGTTACAAGGGCATCAATGTCACTCGATGGCCTGCTAGATTTTTTTCGAGCTGGAATAGAAACCCGTACGTCTGATGACCCAGCAAACGGCCCGGAGGAAGCCAGTTATTTTGAACGTTACATGTGCTCCGTGCTGCCAGAGTGTTTGGAAGTACGCCGCCAGGTACAAGACAGCGATTCCAGAACGGACAACTTTGTATGGATGGTATTTTGAAATGGACAACGGAGCTAACTGAGGGCAGGGCACTCTTATCCGACCTTTGTCTCGGTACGAGTTGTCGGCTGCGATAAAGTATGCGTCCGCGTTTGGTGCGGCGGCTCTTCCTTCACCGGCACAGGCAACTATATTGAGAAAGCTGCAACTCCGTCGGGTAAGCAATAGACGCGACTCAGAGACTAGAGGTTTATTTGTGTGGCAGGAAAGGCGTAGAACAGATATTCAGGAGCTAGACTTTGTCAATTACAATTCTTTGACTTCCGCACCCCCCCAATTACCGCCTCAGCCGCCACAATCAGGCATTTTTAACTCGCTAAAATCTATCCGAACGACACCTTACGAAGCGTCTTTTTTATCACGCCTATGTGGTCATAGACCACCTACAGACTCGGGGCTAGTTGCAGTAGACTGGGAAACCAGGTCTCCTTGGATAGAATTGATGACAGATGTGCGAGAGCACTACTCATATGCGCAGTAGGTCTCATTTACTCGAATGATTGCGCTGCTCACTTCATCATTATCATCAGCCCCACATCATCTCAATCACCTGAAGTTCCGGTTCCAATCCGTTACGTCTCCCTGCAGCCGTCCCACCTTCAACAGGTACACGAATTATTAGCTAGAGTGTTCTGGGATGGAATTGATGGTTTGTTGTATCCTCTCATCTTCATAAGTTGCTCTCATGTAATTCAGTTAGCGACTTGCTTCAGTCTTCTCCCGAGCGTTGCTCAGTGATCGCCATGTATGGCAAAATTGTCATCGGCGTGGCTCTTTTGAGCTCGCCTCAGGAAGCGTATATCACGTACCTGGCCGTCAGAGCAGGCTGGCATAATTCTCAGATAGCAACGTGTGTTGCAATTTCTCGACACTTAGAATAATAGCTTATGATCTTCATCTCTGCAGTACTATGCTGTATCACCTGATCATGCTCAATCCGCACAGAGATATCACACTTCACGTAGCTGCTAATAATCCAGCGATGGTGCGCTTTTGCTAGTGATCGGTGTTGGCACACATTTCTAAAATTTGTCTAGTTGCTGTACAACAGATTTGGGTTCAAGGCTGAGGAGTTCATTGCAGGATTCTACGAAGATTACCTGGACTCTCAGTCAAGGGCATCTATGAATGCCTTCAGATTGCGTCTTCGACGATGACAACACGATTTTCAGATTGGCACTGATCTAATCACCAGAACGACAGGGACCTGCTGGTCCAGTACTCCCGGGGTACTTTGTCGGGAATAGTTATATCCGCCAAAGTCAAGGTGTTGATATGCGCCCGGCGTATCAATCGCGATGTTCCATCACTAGGGACCAGGCACAACCGCAATGCTAGGGAGTCAACCATAACATATTAATCCGAATGTCATGAATAGCAAATATGAATGTATGTTTTCATGTCCGTGCTTCGATTCTGCCGGTCTCAAGCATCTCGTGTCATCACATGGGAAAAAATGGAATTTAATGGTCAAGAAGCATTTTTTCAGGAAACCCGACGGTAGTTCGCATGCTGGTTGCTAGTTGAAATGGATATCCATTTTGATCGATTGCGATGGTCAAACAAAATTATTGACTTAGTCATTAACACGAGGACAGTCCAGGATGCGTACCCGGCGCCTTCAGCCCATGTTATGATCGTTGATGCAGTACAGCTAGCAATATGGATGCAACACAGGTCTAGTGATCTCCCACCTCTATTGCGCATAAAGCCGCTCTCTACCAACAGCGTTGGTTTACTACCTGTTGTACAGCCAAGCTGTTGTGGTGTCATTAGTAAGTGAAGTATAACTTTTAGGGAGGGGTATAAGATCCTCATGTTTTGCGTATGATTTTTTCGGGCCTCTCAATGGTGGACTCGATGGCCGGCCTGTGCTCATGACCAACGTGTTTCAGGAGCATACATCGAGGGTGAGTCTGCACTTGGCCAGATGACGATCTGATCGGTGCCACAACAGTATATGAAAGATCACTAACTGAACCCTGCAAGATCGACATCTCACGTTACTGATTGCTATCCACTTTCCAGTTGCCGGCGTGATCATCTTTGCAAGTTAATGCTAGCCACTGATCGCCTCTCTTGACGAGTTTGTGCCAGGCTTATGACTATCTTGTGACAACGGACAAAGAGGTGTACTACATAAAATTGTTTTGAACAATTATTCCTCGTTCATATGTGCTACCTGCAGGTTAGACTCCATATGTGGGTGTCGAAGTGGGGCACGGCAAGGGTCCTCCAAAATTTGTCTGTTCAAACCCAGTTCTTCGTCCACCTTGACATATGATTTGTTCGCAGTCGTATCGGTCATGTCAGGTTATGTCTGTCTGTACTCGGATATGGAGAATAGGATCAATGTTTCCCATTATACGATGCCGCTATGTAAGTTGGACTCATCAAACAAAAGTGCCAATGCGTTATTCGTATTTTTTCCTAATACTGGTTGTAACTGAGATTGGTATGTTGTGTTATTGGCATGTCTTTCACTGTCAACTTATGTATTCATCAGTGGTCCTCATTCTCATGCTGATTCACGCCAGGGTGTACTCGCGGCAAATGACCGGCGTTGGGAGTGGTTTGTTGATGTCGCTGTATCGTGATTCTATTCTTCATATAGTATGCCTACTGCCTAAGCCCTTTCATGACTGCATTCAAATGATCGCGAATGACCAACTTCGTAATACGGTCGTATCTATAGCGAACGTGGTAGTCATGTCCGCCATTTAAGTGAGTGATCAGATACCTCTTCTGGTATGGCGACTTAGGAACTCCAACGAAACAGCCATGCTACAACTAACTTCTTTGACACATGCATCGCGTCCGTTTCTTAACGTCTGTCCAAGACTGGATATGCTGTAACGTAGATTCCCGGCAGTCATGCACTCCGTCCTTTCCTTCCGTATCATGTTTAATCTCAGGCAAAAGTGCATTTTACATTCCATGGACATCTCGGACATGACTTTCGGTAGAATTTAACCTTATGATCAGGAGGTGATGTGAAGAACAGAAGTAGTTTTTCCAGGGCTATGTGTGGCATGTATTACGACTAGATTCAATCACTTAGAGTACCAAGTGTGATCAATTGAACTAACCTCTCGCACTTTGATCCTGCCAACTGCCGGGATTGATAGGGGTTTATTACATGAAAAAGGCAATGTTTGTTTGTCAATTGTTCCCAGGCATGGCGGTTGGTGGATTGTGCAACCAACAATCCTTTCTACTTAGCTTTCGCAGGCGCAGCCATTGATTTCTACGTATACTTACGTGCGAGGACATCAGGCCTGTTCCTTGCCTTTCTGTTGTACTTATCTGCTTTCTGGTTTATGATCTGTGTGTCACGAATTGCTATGCCTTTCCCATTTACATTCAGTTTTCGCGTACCGGGTCTTCACAATCCGTTTACCGCTCAATCGGCAGTAAAACCGTCCCGGAATGACAGGAAAGATACTCGGCTTGATCCTGCATCTGCTATTTCTCGACGTAATTGCACCCAATTTCCTCCTCCCCGCCGTGCATCACCGTCACCATCACTATCATCATTTGTACCACTAAACCGTAAGCGCGGTTGGGTGCCTTCTATCTCTGAACCCAGCCAAGCCGCCACAAGCGCCGCATCTACTCGAGGTTATCTCGACACACCCGCAAAGTACAGGGATATGGCACATGAAGCGCCCGAACAGGAATTTGTTGAAGAAATGTTTGCAGGTGTGTCTCAATCATCCGTGATGTAGCATTACATATTTCGCAAGCAATACCCGCGCCATGCGCACGCCATGTGTTATCCATGCGCAGGCTGCGGTTTATATTTTGAAGTCATCTCTCTTGCTTCTTTACTTTCATCTTTCAACCCACTTTCATTCATGCCTTTCGTCATCGTTATTGAAATAGATGTAGAATTACCACCCGCCAAGCGGCGTCGCACTCTCGCAGGTTCGATCGTGTCCACAGCGTTGAGCGCTGCTCTTATCGGGACTGCTGTTGGTCTCACTGTATATCGCCTGTGAGTGCTGAATTTCAGTTCGATATTAATGTTACTTATCACTATTGAGCGTAGCTGGCGGGACCGAGGCAAGGAACAAGAAAGAATACAACCACTACCACCACCATACCACCCGGGTGACTGGGTCCCCGAACAAGTATGTACAGCTTGGCGTGTGTCACTGTCTCGTCATTGACATACTTTCAGTACAAGGATATTCAAGTTACCCCTCCTACTCCGAAATCGCGCAAGCCTCGCTCAACGCCTTCTGTTCGTCGTTCCGGCACACGACACCGCAGGGTGCGAGCTCGCGGTCGACCGGTTACCCCATCACGTAGTGTTTCCCCTACCCTCATGGCTCATCCACCCCCAGAATTTGATTTCGTGCATGTAAACCAAGACGAAGATGAAGAGGAGGACGAACCTGAGGCTGACGAAATGGACTGGATCGGCGACAGACTATCTAGACTCATACAAGAAGGGCACAGAGCTCTAAACACGGAGGTTGTGGTCATGAGTGAAGCGAAAGAGGATGAGGTGGATGATGGTTCAGGTGACTGGGAGGAAGAGCAACCTGCCGCTGGTCCATCTGTGTCCAGGCGGAGTTCCTTCCGCCAAACACATCAGCCCCGTAACATTCAACCCCCATCCTACTCGGCCTTTACTTCATCTTCTCCGAGCTCGTCACCTAGGAAGCGTAAATTTGTTGGCGATGCTGTACACCTTTCTCCTGATCGCCAAAATTTCTCAAGGTTGTCAGTACCCAGTACACCTCGTCGGATTGCTCGCGAATCTTCGATGGATATTGGCGTCTGCGCTACTGTTACAAGCAGCTTCAAGGAGGATGTGAGTGCCTGGCAGAGTCCAGAACTCAGAGAGTCGATGGAGAGGGCAAGAGCGCAATACCTCCAGAGGCGGATGGGCGCACGATCATGATGGAACTTTCTGATATGTATTACTTACGTACTGACACTTTCTTGATCACTGGCACTGTCTCTTAACGAAGTATGGTCTAGGAATTTTTCAAGTACATGCTGTATCATTAGAATCACTTTAGCCAATGGTCATGCGCCATTTGGCAGTTTTCCACAAGAACCGGAACTATTTCTGATTATTTATGGCAACACTCAGAATTAGAACACAAACTCGTTTTGGAAACCGATATGCACGCACTACTCGCGTTACGTTGTTCAGCGTGAGTGTCGAAAGCTGCGGTCGAAAGTTGAACGGCCATACAATATAACAGCCACGCTGCAGCCTCATTAACTCCAAGGTCGACTGATCCGAATCAGAAACCGGGTTGCAATGTTAGGGCTCCGCAGTGAACGTGAGCTGTGCGAATTCGAAACGATCAAGATGAACGCACGATGCGCAGCGTGTCCGGCATTCTAATTAGAAAGCTTTGCATGACCTTCCTTACGTCTCCTGCCGTATACTCACATTCTTGGACTATTTGGACTCCCTGGTACACCTTGCAACTCTTATCTTCAAGGACTTCTCCCTCCATCCCCATGCCATCCTATGGTCTGACGAAGCGTGGTATACGATTTTTGCTCCTCGCCATCGTATTGTGTTTCGTGCTCCCTGGAATACTTTATCACCGTGAAACTGTGCGGAACTACTTCACTGATCACCTACCGCCATTGTACGAGGACTATCGAGAGCGGGAGCAAAATTTGGGGCATTACAAGGAGTACGAAACGAGCAAGGATGTTAAATATCTTTGGTCAGCCAATCATGCACATAGTGGGTGATCCTTTCTTTAATTTGAATCATCACGCGTTGACCGTGCACAGGCTCAGGATGGGGAAATGTGATGCAAGACTATGTGATGAATGCGCTGCTTGCACATACCACAGGACGCTCGTCAGTCTATTCCTTTACACGTTCTCTCTCTTGATTCCCACATTCCTGATTTTGGTTTTCGATGACGTGTAGTTTTGTCTTTGATGACTACATCTGGAGGCCAGATGGTACACTCTTTACGGATTATAATGGGCATTTAATTCCCTCTCGGATTCCCCTGACAGCACTATTAGGCGGCAAGTACAACATGGTCAATTTCCGCGTATACACACCATTGACTGACTGTTCTAGGCATCATCGTGGGTGGTGAAATGCCACCTGGTGACACCACTCCTCGCGCAGTGTCTAAGGATTTCTTCAACAAAGTCTGCCCCAATCCGACAGTCGTTCATGTGACCGAAGTGAACGATGATCGTATGCGATTCGATGAAAGCGTGCCAGCTTCGTATATATTTGAGAAGTGGCTCGAAAAAATTAACTCGATTGAGGATCCGTGTGTGGAAATCGACCCGAAGAGTGATGCAATCTTTGAGTACTGGTGAGTCATACATATCGTCTTTGGATGACTAGTGGGAGACGCCAGACTTCACGTAGGATATTTGGACACGAGAGAATGTTGTCCATATGGAAGTACCTCAAGGATTCCCCGGTATCCACGCACTGGGGGTGGTCGCCTTTGATACACGATGCATACAGACGAAATCGCCACATCTTTGTGCCGAATGCGAAATCTACTTTTTTCGAAGGGCTTTCTGGTTCGGCTGTCACGGAAAACTACACAGCCCCGATACCTGGCCTCCTAGCGCTACACGTGCGAAGGGGTGACTTCCAGGACCACTGCGTCCACCTGGGCAAATGGTCATCAAACTGGAATGCGTTCAATTTGTTCCCTGAGTTCTCCGACAGGTTCCAAAGGCCCACTGATGGCGGATGGGGCGAGACATCCGAGAAGAACATGCAGATGTATATGCAACGGTGCTTTCCCACAATCGACCAAATCGTCCAGAAAGTCGTACAAGTGCGCGTCGAGTCGGAAGAGCCGCTGACGCATGTCTACATCATGACCAATGGCGCTGTCGCTTGGGTTGAGGAGCTGAAGGAGGCTCTTCGGAACTCTGGGAACTGGGCCCAGATCAAGAGCAGCCGCGATCTCGACATTACATGGGAACAGAAATTTGTGGTGCAAGCGTTGGATATGTTGGTAGCTCAAAGATCTGAAGTGTTTATCGGGAATGGGGTAAGAGCTGCTGTAGCTTAATTGCTGGTACAAAACTGACGAGCGTCTCGTTACAGTGGTCGAGCTTGACCTCGAACGTTGTGATGCTGCGTATGGCGCAGAGTTTTCCTCCGGATAGTAACAGATTCTGGTAATGACGCTCACGACTGCTTCGTCTACGATAGAGGCACGGACGGATGGACGATCTATTATGTTTATTGTTTGGTGAATACAGCCGTTGTGCGCCAAAGTATAGTCGCTACAGTAATACACTATTTTCTTCGTGTCAGGGTATACACTGCTTATGTTGCAGATATCAAACATGATTTATCTGGCGATACGAAACTTTCCTGCATCGACGTCGAACGGTTCAAGGCCATGGCATGTCTGCAAATTTTGGACAGAGAATATCAAGGTCCGAGAGTCCTAATCACTAACCTGGTTACTGCATGGAGACATAACAAGGCTAACAACTTGAACTCTATTCAGATTAGTGTAGGGGGCAGAACTACTTGGATTTAGTTCTGCCGGTTGTAACCGGCAAAACTGGCAAAACTCTAGGAGGGCCGAGGGCCGAGGCTATGCATTGGACTAAGTGTACGACATTCCCAACGATGACATCAATATTGCCTCATCCCATCCGTCACCCTCACCTTTTCAACTCTTTGAGAGCTGCAAATTCATCAGTTTAATGTTATCAGGCGAGATACGCTCTGGACCAGCAAGAAGGTCATCTGCATGGCGAGGCTCAGTCGAGAGCAGAGGTGTCCACGCGAAGGATGCTTCAAGACCCCGGGGGCGCCCACCAGCATGCACTATCTTACTTTAGGGACGTCAGTTTTCATGTTCCCCTGGATTCAAACTGTGTTATCAGAGATCTCAATCACATCTCTCGGATACCCTGGGGTTCTGTCACCCTCCTTTTGCGTGAGTTCTGCCGTGGACCAGGCACAACCAGTTTTGCCAAACTGGTTGGCAAAACTCTCGCCCGAGTGCTGCCTAACAACACTATCTATTTTGTAACATTCAGTACGTAGTTTCCGGCACCGTCATGAAGACTACATGGCTACGTAGTATGCAAGCGTCCCTCGAATGCTCGTCATCATGGAAGGCTGATTCATTCTCCGGCTTATCGCAATTGGCAATTCAGTATCTCCCTTGCATCTAGAACTGATTTGTAGCTCAAGGGGATCTTGATGGAGTTGCGGTCTGTTAAGTCATAAACGCTAGGATCCGTGGCAGGCGGCCCATATCGTAATACCTACTTTCCCGATAACGTCGCCACCTTCGATAACACTGCCGAATTCATCAAGGAGTAATATTGTAAAGTACTCTTGCTGTTCTGCACTCCAACATTTGCAGACGAGGTCTTCTCCCTGTTTCCCCTTGACATGGGCATCGTTTTATCACACGGCGACCTGATACCCCAAAACCTCATAGCAGACGGGTCGACTATCACCGTGATAGTAGACTGGGATTTTTCCCGGAATATTTGGAGCACTGTGAGATGCATTCTCCAGACTGGATGACACCGAAATGGTACTATGTCCTCCAGTCCGTCTTTCCATAACAGCCCTACCAGCACATAATCAAGGCATTCCACTGGTTGACAACGATTGTTTGGCGAACGCTTCTGGTATAGGTGAAGTGGAGCCAATGAAACATATTATACCGTGCCCTCCGCATCTACATCAATACGAGTACAAAGGGCAACTCGTGTACGAGTATTAATAATGTCAAGGTACAGAAGAGAACTACTCAATTTCCGTGTTTCAAGATGCATGAGCAGCCACTCGTTGCGAGGGCAGCATTTCCATTAGCAATGTAGAGTTACCTCCATTCTTCGTTGAGAGCTGAGGGTAACACGAGTAAGAATCGTAGCACAGGCGACATCAGTACTAAAAGACCGTGACTTACCAGGGATCCAAGCAAGGAAGATGGCTTTTGTGGGCTCATCACTCATGTCCATCATGTATCGATATGATTCGAGTGCTGCTCCAAATTGACCTCCCCGAATTAGTGCATGGCATCGTTGCTGGTTTGCAGTTTGCCACAAGGACTTGAGGTCCCAACCGAAAAGCTGCACAAGCACGCGGTTGAGCATGGACAGATATGATTGTATCGAGTCATATCAACGTACCACGACAAAGCCCTCGTACATAGAATGAATGTCCGACTTAGAAAAGAAAGCGCCAGCGTTGACAGCGGCAGTGAAGTGGTCAACAGCCTCTTTGTAAAGGGCGCTATCCATGGCAATGATTCCCAGCTGAACTCGCAAATATGCCTGATGTGCGAAGCACGGAAAAACCAGTGAGTATACGAACCTGGGCTTGGTCAAGCGTATGATACTTACTTCCACGACACGAGAAGCGAGAGGATCGGCATTAGGACGGGCAGTTAGCTCTTGGACGAAATGCATCGCCTCTTCATGGTTATTTGCATTGAACAATGCGATGGCCTGAAAGCCTCTAATGAAGGATCGAATATGAATCGAAGATTTACCTACCTTGATCAAGAAAAGAAATTGCGTCGTCTTTGGATCTCCGTCGGTGGACGTGAATGCGAGGTCAAATTCTGTCATCGCTTCTCGGACCTGCTGTTTCCCGCAGAGGGCGATGCCCTTGGAGATATAGCCTGACAATGAAGGCTGAATGCTAATAGACTATGTCACGATCATCGTTAAGGGGGACACGATGGAGCGGTAGCAGTGTACTCACCTTGCTTGCATCATGAAGTGCGCGGTCCCATCCCAGTTGTCGCGCCATAACAAATGAACGGTTGGCATAGGAGGTACAGCTGTTAGCATCGACGTCGATCTCTTGTGTGAGCAATTGTTCGGCGGTAGTCAAGTCCCCCGTGATGCATGCATTACGGATGGTCTTGTCGATAGCCAAGATCTGCATGAGGGTAGTGGCATGCTCGACTTGTGTTATATGAGTTAAGATTGGAAACACGCCTTTAAATCAGGGCATTGAGCCTTTGAATCAAAAAGACGCGAGATGAGATGATGAAGGACCAGGAAATCAAGGAGATAGTACCTTTGCTGCCTGTTCCTCGAGAGCATCCTTCGGCAAAACATCCTTGGGTACTTCCCACTCTGAAACGTGCTTATCATCTCCGCTGAGGATGAGGTTGCCATCCATCGAGAAGGTGACGCATTCCGTTGCGCTGGAGTGCAGGAAGATGGCGATGGTTTGCCGGTCCAACAACGACCAGAGGCGGACATGGTTGTCATGAGATGCGGAGGCGATGAGTGTGCCACTAGGATGGATGGCAATGGCCCAGACAGCGTGAGCATGACCAGTCCAGGGATCACCGACCTGCTCCCAGGTCGATGCATCCCACTCTCGTATGCTAGGATCTTCATAACTTCCCGCTGAAATAAGGCGCGTACCATCGGGCGTCCACACGAGTGATATGTTGTATTGTGAGTGGCCCTTGAATTGTGCGATGCATTGCCTAGTGTCTGGGTGATAAATTTCGATATCACTCTGTGTTGCAATTGCGAGAAGTACGCCAGACGGGGAATACCGAACGCAGCGGACCGAACTACTACACGTAGTGACTTGGCGTACTTGGAGCAGCCGCGTCACGGTTTTTGTGTTCCACAGCTTTGTCGTGGAGTCGCCTGAACCAGTTGCCAGTACGATACCATCAGGAGAAAAGTCCAACGTGTAGATTAGACTGGAGTGGGCTCTGATGGAGGCTTGGGTCACCCAGGCGAGAGATTCTCTGTGCCAGGTGATGACTTCTCCGTTGCAATCGCCGCTTGCTATCAATTGCCCATCTCGTGATACCGCTAACGCTAACACCTCACTGCAATGCCCCGTCATTTTCTTCAACACCACACCTGTCTTCAAGTCCCACAGATGAAGCATCTTATCTTTTGAGCCGGTGATCATATGTTGTCTGTCGGGGAAAACTGCGACTGCAGTGACAGCGGATTCATGATCTTTAAACTGTCGATTGGGTGCGGTTGTAAGTTAGCTGTGACATTTGACTGGAGGCTGATGGTGTCGAGCACGCTCCAAGTGGACTTGGTAGAGGTATGATTGTGGGTAGAGCTGTAGAGGTGCGTGCATTTTATCCTGCTTCGCAACATCGATCAGACGCTCAAGGCATGAGGCTTTATCATAAGTCCCTTGGTACCATAGCATTCCAAATGAGCTAATGAGCTTTCCTCATGGCATGATCGACGTTGAATAGCATTATCGAATATGGTGGATCCAACCCTTCGACCAGAAATCCAACTCAACATCAAGATTTGAGCGTGGACAGCATAATGTTTGGTGACCGTTATGCAAGCTCATCACCGGCCACCGGCATACCACAACAACAGCCTGTCATTCTCCATGTCCCGAGGCAGGACGCTTCTTTCCTGCATGTTTACGGCCTGTCTAGAACGCGCTGTTATAACGACGACACGAATAACTCTTTAACACGTTCCAGGAAAGCTTATTGATGAAGCTATCCTAGCTGTTCCTTATCATTTTGAACCTCGATTAAGTTCATCATAACCATAGATGTGGCATGCAGTCCGGTGACATGTCGAACTTCTATTCCCTGGGACATTCTTACTGCAGATTCGGACGGTCGCGGGGTTATTTGTATTGAAGATAGTCGATAACCAGCTGTTCGAACTCTGCTTTGTACCCTTACGTCAGACCTCATGTTCGGCAGCACATCGATACCGGCACGACAGTCGCGGATCGGCATATATTACTGGTTCACCACCTTTGCCTGGCTTCTGTTAAGAGAATCGACCAAGACTGCCATCGGTCTGCATCTATGCTTGGTCTTCTTCGTATTGTATTCGTGTCAGCATGATAATGATACGCCTCTCTTTGGAGGTGATGTTTCACTCATGGCCTTCAAATATTTTGACCCTCGAAGGACCGGATAGAGATCGAGAGCCATACACACTAGATCTTACGGATCATTCAGATGGTGGCATATGCAAATGAAGGAGGAAATGATTCCGAAGCTTACGGTTCAGTTTAAGTGGAGCCACCTGGTGCAGGTGAAAGGAACACGTGTTATGGGCGTACTAGCTCTCGAACGATGGCTTAAACTTTGGACTTCAATGGATCAACGGTGAAGGAAATGATATCTGCCGCCGCCGCCGAGGTCTCATGGTCTGTAAACATTAATATTAAGTGATTTGTTTTCAGTCACCCCACTCGGGAACAAGTACATGAAATATCGACGTAATCGCACAAAAGATCTCCGGGGCGAGGACTGTCACCGTATGTCCGTTGGTGGCATATAGCGTCTTGCATTCTTACTTGAGAGCTCAGTGAAAGGCGATCGGGGACCGTAGCATGAGTGACATTTACTAAAAAGACTCACCAGAGAATCAAGCACATAAGCTGGCCTTCGTAACTTCATTACTCGCATCTATCATGGATCGGTACGATTCGAGTGCTTCTGCAAGTCTGCCAGTCCGAACGAGCGCAAGACATAGTTGCCTATTGGCGATTGGCCACAATGTCTCGAGATCCCACCCGAATAGCTGCGAAAACGCACAGCTGAGCGTGAAAGGGATTTGTGGTTGTATCATAGTATCTAATATGAACTCGATATCACTATCCGGACTCCGTTGCAATCGCAAGGCGCTCACCAGATGGCGAATATCGAACGCACTCCAACGCAGCGGACGTCACTATTACACTGGATTAGATTTCCTTGCCATGGAGATCCAATCGAGTGTAGTAGTGGTATCAGCCACGTCTCCTTACTCCACAGCTTCGTATTTCGATCCAGTGAACAAGTGACGAAACTCCGTCTGATCCTGGAGAAAATGTCAATGTGTAAATTCGATTGGAGTCGGCTTACATGGCTTCGGTGAGCGAGTCTCCAGTTTCTCCGTGCCAGGTGATGATCTCCCCGCTCCCATCGCCACTCCCCACACCTCACTGCGATGCCCTACCATGTTCTTCAAAAACTACCCCTATCTTGAAGTCCTCGCAGATAGAGGATCCATCTTGTTGTACGAGCCTGTGACCCATACGTCGTCTACAGGGAATACTGCGACTGCGAGTACTGCTCCATTATGATCTTTAAACGCTCGAACGGGTGAGAGACCTGAAATGAACTGTACCATTTTTCTGGAGGTCGAGGTGGACAAAAGGAGAAGGATAGCGAGTGGAGCCACAGAGGGGCACCTGGGTGTTTGTTGATGCTTCACCACATGATCAAACGCCCGAAACATGAGGCTCTTATCATAAGCACCTGGCACATGTGTCCAACTTGCGTCGCCGCAGCTTTAAAGATGACCCAACGAGCTCTACTGGTGCTATGATAGTCATGGCAGGTGTTGAACAACATTAATATCGAATGGACTCAATACTTCGAATATCAAGAAACTAACTCGATGATACTGATATGCAATCGCCAGCCAACGAGCTGTGAACCGGGAGCAGATTGATCCAGGAGCCGAGAAGAGACCTGTTATTGTTTCATCCATCAAACTTTTGAATCAAGGGTCTGAAATCGGGCAGAAAAGAGCACGAGTTGCAGCACGTTTGCATGGTGTCTTGGTTGCTGGTGAACGAACACTTGGAACCATGTGTATCGGAGACGAGCGCAGCGGAGCGTGCTTAATCTGATGGATATATCATAGGCAGAGTAAGTCGTAAGTAGGGTAGTATCCGAAATAAACAACAATAAAGAAAGATATTGTCCGTACCGTCACAGCTCATAGCACTCCGCGTGCAAAATACCATGCATAATAGACGCCTAATCCATAACCCACCACCTTACAGACTGACATGCACCAATCTCGGGGTGGAGGAGAACCGCGGAGAGCCAGTATTGTAGTTGTCTCCGGCGACGATCGACGAAAGCTGCTCGGTAGCGCGAAAAGGGAGATTTCGGGGGGAGGGCTGGGATGAAATGGTGTTGATGTTTCTGACGGGTGACTGAGTACTGAGATTTTGTTAAAATAGAACGAGGGGTAGACGCACAGGTAATGAATGTTTCAGAGCATCGTACAACAGCACGAAATCGCTATACCGCTTATGTGCGTGGATAGTAGTACCCTATTTACGGTCACCTCGGATCTGAACTACAACATAGAAGGTATGCGAACCTCTTTTGTGCGGATCACACAGTCATACACGACATAAGCTCCACCTAGCTTATCACCTACGCTCGTCCACCCCGCGATATGCACATTTCGGGCAAAAGCGAGACTCGTGCCTGAGTTGTCGTTTAGCCAAATGTCGCGCGAGAAAATAGAGGGTGGTCCCTGAGGAGATTTGGGCCGGGTGGATGGGCGAATGGACACTTGATCCTGGATGGTGGTCAGTTAAGTATTTTGGACGGTATTGAAAGAGCGGAGAAACGAACGTCACACAACTCATCGTACAATCGTGCTTCTGCTTCGACGTCAATTCCATCGTCCGGAATGACAACGAGAAGGCTTTCTGTATTTCGGAAAGGATGAGTGGGCGCGGGCATAGTGTTGACAGTGGGGACGAGAGCAAGTTTCCCCGATGATGACAAATCGGCCCGAGTCACTACATATAAATCGAGCTTGGACTTCCGCGATATATTTGGTTCAAATTTGATTATCGCAACGAGCAGCAAAGCAAAAGGTACCTAGACCACGTTTGATTTCCTGCCATGTTCGTGTACTCCACGGCTCTGTCTTGCCTCACCGGTCGCCAGCATGGAGCCGCATCTGGGGAAAAGTCAAGCGATTTGATACAAGGGTTGAGAACTTTGGTTGGTGTTTGGTTCAGAATGGATAGGTTCTTCCGTCCCCAGTCTCCGTAGTGACCATCGCTTGCTATCAATTGCCTGTCCGGTAGTGATACCGCCGTTAGCAGTATCTCCACCTCATCGCGTTGCCCCTTCATTTTCTTCAACACAAGACCGTTCTCCCACAGACGAAGCACCTTGCATTCCGCTGCCACTATATGTTTTCAGATTTCACGGTCCTTTCAAATTCTTTAACAGGTGTTTTGATTGGAACGATGAATTGCTCTGCCATCCTGGTGGATGGCTGGTCGTCTTGAGCAGTGAGCACGGAGGTGGTCTTGGTGAAGGACCGCGGGTGCCTTGCTGCTGTGGAGGTCTGTGTCTTTCACGTGGCTTGTGTTTCATAGACGCTCATGACAATTACCGTCACCCCCAACATCACTACAGGTGGGAAAACGTGCAACTCTTCAACCCACCGCCATTTCTACTGCAGTACCGAAGGAGACAAGCAACAATACCTAGGAGGGAACTACGTAAAGTGCAGCCTTCTCCAAATGAACTTTCATGCTGACCATCGCATGTACTTGAAAATAGACTTGGGGCCGGCGAATGTGGGAAGGGATAGTTGGCATTGATTTATCCAAACCCGTTCACAAAGTTCAACGTTCAATGCTACAGTCAATGTTCGCAGTAACGGGTATCTCAGCCATTTCCCAATACGCCACGCAAGCGACTGGAGTACAGTTTGAGTGGAGGTGTGTATCGTACCAATTGAACCCGGAATGGAAATCGATTGCGCCTTGATCTACGACGCATGTTTGGGAGGCTACAAGACCATGTCTCCCGGTCAATGATTAATGTGGATTGTAGCCGCGAACTGAACGGTCAAGGTGGGTTTTGGCTACTGTAACGAATGAGAAAGTAATAGGCATGTTAATAGTCACATCTAGGAAGAAGACATAAGAGCTTGAGTAAATTGCCCATTGGTATCAAGTAAGTGAGAATTATTAACCCATATGTGTCACTACTCAGTACTCAATTATTATCAATTTAAGTGAGAGTCGTTGAGGCGTGCCAATCCACGTCTATCTTGGGTAAAATGTCAAGTTAACGTTATCTACCTCGAGCTCTGAATGTTATGACATCCCTATTCACATGATTAAACCCCCCCCTCTGTGGAGTGAATGCAGTGCAAAAACTCTACTTGCCTTTGAGTAACAAATTACAGTTCCCTGTCAATTTTAATAAACTCGTGTTTATTTTTTGCATTGACCCTGTCTTTGACGCTCAAGCTGGGATGTGGGTGTTTCCACCAAGATGCTCTGCTAGTTGCACACGCTACTCCTATGAATACACGGTCTATAGCACTTACGAAGGCAAATACAGGTATGACCGTATTATACATCCTTGACCTTTAACTGACGCATTTATTGTGGTCTAATGCGCCAGGGCCGAGGTAGGCGAAGCTTCAGGGTCGCAAGTGTGGAGACATGGGTATCCTGAGTGCTTGTTATGATTGGCTACCGCAGAGCCACAGGGTTGAAAACGTTAGTGTGGGAGACTCGTATGTATGTAGCTACTCCGCTCGTCGTCCTTGAATAAGCGGGAAATTTTCTAGTCGACAGGGTGTCATTCCCGCAACGCACTAAACGTACACCTATCTGATCTATCCAATTCTCATCATGGTGGACTGGAACGATCCTGACCTCGAAGCAAAATTGGGGATGCTCTCAGTACAATTGTTGTATGCCATCCTTGGTTTATACGGGTGAGTGCTGCGCGTTGTAATGCTCTTAAATGTGACACCAATTAGCCTGTGTCTGCGTCTGCAGCTGGGAGTATATACGCTCCTCACACGTGGAGATAGCACTACTTCGGAGGCAGCTTCCATTTCGATGGCCTTTGGTGCGCATTCTCGAGGAAGTGAACGCTTGCCACTTACACACGCCCAGCTCTCGTACATAACCGCCAGATTCAGCTTCTTGATTGCAATCATTTTACAGTAAGCCAACAGATAGAAAGCGACAAGCGTACTGACATCCCTTGTCAGTGCGGTGCAATCTAGTCCCTTCTACACAGGCGTTGATTGTCAGAGTGAGTGTTTTGTAGACTTGATCTTCGTCGATGAGGCTTACCTCAATTTAGGCATAAATTTTGTAATCATAGTGAGCACGGGAGTACTTACTATTTTGCTGATTTACCTTCATATCATCTAGTTCTGTACAAACGTCGCCATCGGCTGCTCCACAACAAACTTAATGATCAGAACGCACGCTCATGATTATCTCTTGTACCATATTCGATCTCATGGTATATATGTGCAGGTGGCTGATTTGGAAGACCAATTACCTGCTGTGTCTTTTGCTAATCCTCTTATCACTAGGTCATTGGACAGTGCTCACTCTTTGTGCGTATTTGCTGCCCTCTAGTGTGATTATTTTGACTATTTTTAGTCCTGGCAACCGCTCGTGCATCCACCATAAACGGGGTGTGCGTGATCAATTTTGTCGATCTCGCATATGCTAGTGCAGTGGTCATATATGGTACGCATGTCGCATTTATGATCAATGGATACGTGATAATGAATACCTCGAGTGTAGTCATGTTATATGATTTGGCACTTTTGGTCTTTACCGTTATTGGACTTTTGAGGATGCCATCGTCTTCTACGCTATGGAAGACGCTCGTGAAACAAGGGGTGGTATATTTCATCATCAATTTTCTAGCGAACCTTATCCTACTGGTGTGTTCCTTCTTGTGAGACAGGGTGGTCGCAGACTAAACTTTGTAGGTCCTGAATCGATTGAACCTGAATCGTAAGACTGTTTCGCTGCATTTGCAAACGCCTACTCAGTCCGTGTCGTCAGTTATTATGAATGTTATTTTCGGAACGCCTGGTATGTGCCCATGGTTTCACTGACTTCATGTCGCTGACCTTTCAAAAGCGGCATGCATCTGGTCAGGACTCTCGTTACGACTTCTGATTCAGACGCATGACCTACTTTTATTTGCAGCACGATTGCATCTAACCAAGTAGTCCTCTCGCTTCTCCGTCCTTCATCCAATTATGAAAGGTTTTTCCTTTTTTTTCATCTTTATGTTTCACCAATCTCGTTTGTGACAAACAGCGACAGCACCTCGTCGGCTAAAGTGCATCCTCTGACGACTGACTTCGCCGTCGCGGCGCCATGGTAAAAGTTCTTTGTTTGAGATGCGTGTACGGTGGTTCATTGTGCGTTCAGGTTCCCGTCCGTGGCTGAGGCCTAAGAGAGTATTTGTTTAGAATCACCTCAAGTACTGCATCGTCCCTAGGTTTCATGAGGATTCGTATCTCGCCTTCGACGTATGGCAGTGTATGACGAATCGAGAGGCTCGGATTAGGAACGGGGATGGGACTTTGTATTGAGTCAAAGACTAGAGGACGATATTCGACGGGGAGAGGTATTAATACGCTGATTGAGACGGAGAATCAAAGGAGAACGTGTCTAACACATGTAACGAAGAGTGATTGCGTATGTAAAAGAAAAGGAAGAGTACGTACGAGAGTGACGTCGATAGTTGTATCTTGACACAGTGCACCCTAAACTTATCTATCTTGTCTCCATAATGCAAGACTCGAGATTTCCGATATGCCAGCGCTCGCAAGTTTGATGGAGCCTTCATGCATGATTAGATCTTGTGGAGGCGTAAATGATAGCGTATGCAGAGTCCAGACTGGACATCCAACTTGAAGCGAACATTCGCGAATCCTTTTAAGCCAGCAAAAGCACTTGGCAGACTTTGTCCCTCTACGGTTACCGCTACGCTTTCATTTATAACCACCTGAAAAATATAGCACGCATATGTCCGTGACACGCGTTGTTCACACATGAAGGGACTCTGAGACAATGGGACAACAGTGACCTTCCCAGGGGTCCTCAGTCTCGAGGGTGGAAGGTCATTCCCGTTATTGAATACCACTACATCTCCCCTGATCATTTATACACAGGAAGTGGAGTTTGTTGATAACGCGCTAGTCACCGATTTCCATACAACATAAATATCGCCTTGAGAGCCGAGCATGTGTGGATAATACAATGACACAAATCCAAATTGGGACACCCAGTACGATCTAGAAGCAGAAAACACGACCGGGCAGAGTGCTCCCCATATGTTCTCCCGAGTAGCCTGGCCCCCTGTTACGGGAGCAGCCTGCTGTTGTGATTCAGGCTCCTGATCGAGATATCCATCAGGTACCAGATCCTTGTCAGGGCCAGGAGCATCTACTGCAGCTAGGGTACCGCACGGGTAACACCGAGGGTCGGAAAGTTGACACCGCACCCCGCACCCGCCAACA